CAGGGTCCCGAGCCAGGGTGACTGGAGCTGATGCTATTAGACAAGGGTGGAAAATTGATCTCTTCCCAGCAAGATTTAGAGGCCAGTCGGACAGGAAATTACTCCAGCTGGGCACTCTGTCCCCATCTCTCAGCTCTTCCTGCAGCTAGGAGATTCACTCTATAATTGCTTTCTTAGTCCACATTTTATCCTCAGCTGACAGAATTCCATTAGGGTGATACAAGCTGCGTGATAAAGGGATGTTTGTGTCTCACATGGGCTGTAAGTCATTTCTCAGCAAACAAGCAAATAGTCACAGAAATGGGCAAAGAGACACTGAGCCAGGAACCCTCCTTCTTGTGCTCTGAATACCAGGACCTCAGCACTCAAATGGAAGCAAACATTCTTCCAGTATGTTATATTCCTCTCTGCTTCCCTCTCTGCTCTTTAGAGGAGACTTGTCAGTGCACATCTCCAAAATGAACATTTATCTCTGCAGCATTTTTGAATGGACAATAGCCAAGCAGGCAGACATGGAGCACCAGCACCCCTAGAAAGGAGGGCCCCATGCAAACGGGAGCCACTGTGCTGTGATCGGAGGGGTTGGTGACACCACAGATCACAGATAGCAAGTGGCCTACATATGGGAAACTAGATGAAATGAAACCAATGTTGTAATACATCTGAGCACATACATCTGAAGAGCGTACCAGGTTGGTCACACCTGCAAGACAAGGAACAATGATTCTGAACAGGACCTTTGGGACTGTTTTGGAAGACAAAAGGAGTGATCTTTTAAGCATAATGATGCAGCTAAAAGATAGACATGACGAAAAAAAGCTAAAAGGGAACACAGGAAGGTGCGTCAAATGCTCTAGTCTGCATAGTTACAGTATCTATAGTACTGGGGAAGCCATTACTAGGCAGTGTGTTCTGGAGTTCACATTTTTTGAAGAATATTGGAAGAGATTTGGCTACTTCAGTGACTCTTACCAGAAGAGCGGCTCCTGTTAGAGCTCTGCCTCCCGGATCAGCAGCCCCAGAAAATGGAGGCCAGCCTAAGGCATCCCTACACAACGTGTCTGCTCACACCACTGCTGGTTTGAACTCCAATCACTTGCTATATTCCCCAGGCCCGTAGAGAGGTGCCTCCAACAGTGAGGACTGCTGAAGCAGATAGCAGGAGGCAATGGGAGATGCTTCTGTCTTACACAGTAAAAGCCATCAACTCAATCAAAGGGAAAGCAGACTTCATCCCCTGCATGAGCCAGAATTCAGATGTCAATACAGCACTTCACATTTGCTCTTACCTGACTTAGGCTGAGAAGTGAGCTTTTCCTGGTAATGCAAGAGGGTTTAAAGACTCAACATTCAACCTCCCTCAACCACTGATCTCATACTCACATCATCACTGGCAGCGAGACCTATCTCTGGTCATTTCAGTGTGTTACCTGGTGTACAAGATCTCAGTCCAATCTCACAACACCCAGTCACTCATTGGCACTGTCAGGCTCTTGCAGATGTTACCAGTCTAGCATACAACCCTGAAATGACAGGACTGAACATCACTATGGGGAATGACCAACACACCAGGAACACAGCAAAAGCCCAGCAGGACCAGGAAATCTTACAGAAAAAGCAGCATCACCTACGCAGAATGCTGTGATGCAATTTTATGTCCAGGCTCAGCCTAAGCCATGAGAAGAGCTCAGCTTAATTTAGCTGCTGTATGTAGCTCCTCACATAGCTCTTATGGGTTCATCCTCCAAAATGAGGATTAGTGTCCTGACTCAGTAATACACAAACTTCAGTGTCTTCTATGCTGCCTTTTACACTGTCTGCATCACTGCTTGCTCCCTTGTCCACAGACAGGTACTTCTCACTGCTGTTTAAATTCTACTGGATTAAACCACAAAAGGCAGAAATTGATAACAGAAGTTGCAGGACTTCCCAGGCATTCTGGTTTTCAGATTACCCAGTGAAGACTGATAAAAACATCTTTTTAAAGACCAAAAACTAGGCAGCATGACATGTACTTCCTCACAGATTATTTCTTTATCCTCTGCCCTTCTTAGTGTCACTGTGGGACAAACAAACTCATTTCTGTTATCTTGATCCAACCCCTTTAATGCAAGTCACTACAGGTAAAGGTGAGCAACTATGACATAAAGGTTTTTGAGTGGTGCAGAAATTGGAACTGCGCGAAAGTTTAATAATTTACATCAAAGGCTTCAGCAAGAATTCATACTAATCCCTCCTTTTCCTTTGCCATGCTTTTGACAATGTCGAATGATGTTACCGTGCACATTCTTGCTGAATTACTCTTGCTGAAACTGTGCCTGACATTGACTGAAGTGCTCCGTGGGGATTTTCTTGATTGCATGTTTACTCTTCCTCCTTTCCCTCCTGTAAATGCTAGTCTGACATGAATGTACTTGTGACTAGTTAGTTAAAAAAAGGTGAAAAATGGAATGAAACTTTTTTTCTTTTTTAACCCTGATTCACTGTGGAAATGAGTCAAGTATCTATGTTTGTGTATATAGGGCTGACTAGGACACTTAATTATCTTTGGTTATATAAAGGGTCATTACATCTCGGCTCCAATTAGGAGGGCAAATGCTGACATCTCCCCTAGACACGAATGAAGTATTTTCTAAACATTATGCTACTTTCTATATATGACTGACTAGACTCAAGGACTTCATTAGGCCTTGCCTTGGTGGCGTATGTCATCCCAGAGCAGAGCGCAGGCTGGCAAACCCTTCTTTCAGACAGAGACACTGCAGGGGAGGATGTTCCACAAGTTAACAATTTTCTGGAAATATTTTAAAAACTTTCATGGTCTTTCCACTGTGTGGCAATTGTGGGGAATCTCTTGAATGAGTAAAAGGAGCTGCTAGGAGAGTCTGATGGAAGGTACAAGCCAATACTCTCTGTGCCAGACCAGCTGCACTGGATACATTACAGATTTCCAGAGGCAAAAGGTGTGAAAACTGGCTGCAGTTACCAACTGACCGGTGAGGAAGAGTTGGTGGCAGAGAAACAGACAATAGAGAGAACCGTGACCCATCTGAGCTTGACCGGGTATTTTGCAATAATTTACAAAACCTGGACTTACCTCAAAGGCTTAGGGTTGAAAAATCATTAGTCCATCACATAGGACTTGAAATGCTCCAGACAGATACAGAGAAGACAGATGAGCATAGAAAGTACTCTCCCCCTCATACCTTTTCTGATCAATAAGAAGGATGCTATTCTGTGCCAGGAAACATGACGGATTTCATTTATCTTCACATTCAATGCAATTTTCTCAGAAGAACAAACAATGCGACAGGTCTCATCTCATCTAGAGATTGCCTACATGACAAATCTGTGATTGTGCCTTAAGTCTTAAAAACCTTGCTGTTATAGCCTCTCCTCTTCCAAACACATACATTTATATCTGTTCTTAGCTCTACCAGTAACCCCCCTTCCAGCTTCTCCTCTTTTTCATTTTGGAGTTGCACATGATGGTTATCTGAGAACACAAGGGGAGACAGTTCTCAGAACGACAGAGGGTTCTTTTGTCAGTGCAGTTTGGGAAGAGCCTTTCAACAAAGTACAATATACTCACACTATTTTACATTTAGAAGTAAAGTGTTTTGTATTTAGTACAAAATACATTTTGTTGCTCCATCAATACACAGAAATCTGGGAAATGCATTGCTATCTTGTGTCTTTTCAGTTTAGCCAACACCAGTTAAGAAGTATGCTTTTCATAGGCAACATACAAGATATTGCACTCCTGACTCAGTACAGAACAGGAAACAGAACATTTTAATTCTGTATCAGGAGCTGCAGTAGTATATCTCTGTTTCATGTCTAAAAGTATATACTGACTTCAGAGTGTTCAGTTCTCTCTGGAAACAATGAGCAAGTTCTAAACGAGAAAGGAAGAATCTTCTATGGAAGAGATTTACAGGTTGTCACAACCTACAAATTTTCAGTGAAAAATACTTTTGCATAGCTACAAATCCTGCAGCATAATTATTTGGTTAGAGGTTTTGTTTAAATGACTACATATACAGGGTACTTTGTGTTTAAAAATGCGGTTTACTCCTTCTGCTAGTTAAAATCCATTTACTATTTGTCAAAAGTGATGATATGTTGGTGGCCACAGATCTGGTTGGTGCAGCACAGAGGTATGGCCTCCTCATTCATATAATCAATTCAGGCAAAATAGGAGAAAATAGCATTGCTCTGTAGCAGAAGGACTCTGAAGAATGTGTAGAGCGCCTGTTAGTGGCATTTCAGGCAAAACACCTATTTTTCTTTTTTCATGGTAGTGAAATAATGAAAGAAATAATTATTTCACTGCAAAAGATGAAAGAAGTGACAGCTGAAACCTACTTATTAAACCTTGATAAACCCACTTGCTGATCTCCATTTTCTAAAAGCATTCAACACACTTCTGCATGCTCCAGATGTCAGAAACAGTGTCAGCCCCTAGAGACAGCCATGGCATCAACACAGTGGCAGCCCAGAAATCGAGAGGTAAAGAGTATTTCCTTTAAGTAGATTTCCCAAAGAACTATTTACAGGCATCAGAAACAAAGCAGACACTTCCTTCTAGTGAGGAGCTTTGTGACCATCCAGCTAGGATTTAGGAATTAAAGTTTGAGAAATACTCTGAAAGAGCTCTTGTTATAACCATCCTGCTTCACCCAAGTTCTTGGTACATGGCAGGAACACTTGTCAGCTAGCAGTAAGGTTCCCACTCACTCCTTTATGTTCCTTTCTCCCTGGATTTTCAATTAAGAGAGGAGGAAAAAACAGTCAGACAGATAATGACAATTAAAAAACCCAGAAAACTGAATTCATGCTTTACATTTCATTACTGAAGAAAATTTCCTGTGGCAAATAAAACTTCCTCTCATAAGACAGGAGGTGGTTCAGCAGCAGCAGATACGGAGAAATCTTCCATTTGGATGATACGTATCTTGGAGATCTAGACTGCAGTTATTTAGGGCTGGATGTATTCAGGACTTTCCAATGTTATCTCTTCCTCCTCTGCAGTCCTTTTTCACATATGCAGGTTTTGGGACGCAAAGCTGTTAAGGAAAATTGAGTGCTGTTTTAAGACTGTACCTGTATTTACAGTGAAGCCATAGACTAAAATACAGAAGGAACATGCCCATCTCTCTTTCCATCCCAGAATGAAAACTAAGCTACTCTTCTCGGTAATGTTTCTTACATTGACAGTGAGTGCTGCAATTTTTTCACAGTCCTATGGAATCAGATTCCTGTGGAATCTAGTCTGAATTCAATGTTGACTCTGTTCTGAGTAGGAGGTTGGACCCTCCCTCAGGAGGGGAACCGTGAGGTCTCCTCCAACCCAAATCATTCTATGAATCTGTTATCAACCACTGCAGCTGATACCAGTAAGTACTCCAGAGGAGACATGGGGCGGATGGTGATAGGCAATCCTCAGCTGATGACTTCAGAGGCGTTATGCGTCCTTAATGCTTGGACAATAGATGTGATGGCCATGACGATGACAGCTATTCTTTAGTGGACATAGGGTATGTCTGTACTGGAACCCAGGATGCCATTACAACAGGCACAGAGATGTTCAAAACACTTTTGACTCAGCTAGCACTAATATAGTAATAACTTTGAAGCTGTATTTGTACAGGCAATGGCATTTCAAATCCTTCTCCAACACAACTGTTATTAAAAGCCATCAAATAATTTCTGTTAACACTTTCTAGAGGAACTAATTGGAGAAAGTGTCACGCTCAGGAGAGAAAACCAATCATGAATATACCAGCTTGGCTGAGAATTTGTAATGTATTTAGGGAGCTATTCTGAGTAATTTACAATGAATGACTGGGAATTTTCAGACTATAAATACAATCTACTCTTTCTCCTTGGGAAAAAAAAAAGAGGTTGTCTTTTTAATTATCACTTTGTAAGAGAAAAGGCCAACCAGAAAGACAGTGGGAAGAATAAAGTCAACATGTGTTCCCCCTTGTTACACTTACCGTGATTTTGGATTTGCTTGAGGAGTAACAAGCAGCTAATCGTGACACACGTGCATCATCTCAGAAGCTGCTTAGAAGGCCAGTGGGGATGCAATGAGCCTATTATTCCAAAAGCTATCTATGAACCTGCACAATTAACACCAGTTTTCAGTTTATCTTTGGTCAGTTTCTTTCCTGAGGACTTCTCTGTGTGTTGGTGTAAGCTATATCATCCACTTTCAGATTTAGATATAGAATAAAAATCCACCAGAGTATTGACATTCCTGGTTTGCCTTCCTATGTTAGAAAAAGTAGAGCTAGATATATGAAAGAGGTGTAAGTCTCCCCACTTTTCCCAGTTTAGGTCTGTAACAATGTTCATTATCCATCCCGTCTCTGTAGAAAGTGAGCAGAAGAAAACTGTAGAACACAGAACTAACCTGGATCAGCCACAACCTGTTTCTTCTTGCTGTTTGTGACAATCTCATTTTCATTCATCATTCGTACATCCTGATCTCCCACATGATTGCTGAAAAGATTTAAATCAGTACAATAGCCAAAATAATCAACGTTGTGAAAAGTTATGTGTCATGAAAAAGGTTACCAAATAAGTTATTTAGGTCCTGGAGGCTAAACAAAGCTATGAAACACAGCCACATTATATGAGACTATCTAGAAAGGAAAGGCATTCTGTCTGCATCCATCTGAAGGACTTCTTGCCAGTTTTAATTAGTGGCATTCATTCAGGCACACATTCAAATATAAGTATCATACTCACTTACAATTTTCTTGCTTGCCTACACAGCTTGAACCACATTAACCAAAGTGAGATTTTAAATCAGTGCTGTACAAAGAGGGTATAAAAATCCCTATATGGAACTTAACAGTGTCTTGTAGTGTTGATATAGCATTATTTGAAAATTTTCTGAACTAAACAAAACTAATTTACTGTGACAAATTTTGTTTGCAGGCTGCTGCAAAATTTTAACAATTCCTTTTTGGGAAAGTAGTAATAACTTCAAGGTTAAATTAAACAAATTACAGAAAAAATGTGAGCTGAACTGAAAGTTAAAGAAAACATCACTAATAACATCTCCCTTTCACACAGACAAAAACAAAACATCCGTGCCTTTGGAAAAAAAAGTATATTTTTCTTTTCTCTACAAATACTGCACAAAATACGTTTCTATTTTTGGAGAAAAATGTAATGTCTCTCAAACTGTCAGAGTGAAACAGGAGAACCAATACTGAAGTAAATCAGAACTTGCACTATTGATAATATCAGACTCAAGTTTGGAGTTCATAAAATACTGAACAGTGACATGTGAAAGAGAATAGGCCAAAATCCGAAGTAACAATATATACAAGCTGAAGAGTATTTTTAAATTGGAGGGATATTATCCAGCATGTAGTAAAGGATTTGTCTTCTATTGCTAAAGTACCCTATATTTTAGTAGGGTAGTAGGTGAAAAAAAGGAAAAGAAGATTGCAAAACAGGCTAAGAAGAAAGACCAGGAAAGCTCCTGCACAGAGGAGCTTTTAGAATAGAAGAGACTCAGCATGTTCTTGACTGCAAAATAGATCATGCAGTTTACATGACGCCCCTCTTAAAACTAAATCAAAGGATATATGTCTTATAAATATGTGCAAAGGAGGTTATGTGGAAAAGATGTAGGATTACAGCTGATGCTTCTCTGCTTCCAATAAAATAACTTTACTCATAGAAAGATGCTAAGCTAAAGAAAGTAAAGGTTCATTTCTCCTCCTCCTTTTTATATCCCACTGAAAAATTTCTCAAAACTCGTATTTTCTCAAGACATTTTCCTTTCAGTAACCTTTTCATTTGAAAAATTGCTTACCTCCAACTTTACCATGACAACACAGCCACTTGTACAAAACCATGAGTCTAACACAATACATCCAAAGAATAATAATTTATTTCAACATCTGATAGTACCAGTGGCCAAGAGCCAATGGTTTAGAGAAACACAGGAACACAAATCCTGTAGGCAAATGTGAACTTCTGTTCTTAATCAGGACAGCTTACGATCCTTCCACTTATTTCTAAATACTTGAATATTCTTCTGAATTAATTATGTGCCATTTTTGAATGCAAAACTGTCGCCTTTTTTTTCGAAGTGATGTATGTGCAAGACATTCTATTTGTTAGCTGTGCAATGTATAAGAAAGTGTTTATTTCTATAAGCTTTCGATTTTTCACTTTTCAATCTCATTTAAAATAAATTATTCTTTCAATCTTTATTTTCCTTGCTAGGGACTCTTTTTTAGACCCTATCAATCCTGACCTTCTAAATATAAGTGCATTTTTCACTGCATTTCATCACATTTTCTGTGAGATTGCCAACTTAGTGGTTTCAAAGTGTCATTCCTCTGAATGTAATTCATTTCTCATTTCTGAAGTTCATTATTTTAGAACATTTATAAAATAGTAGAATTCGGGTTCCTTAATTAGTATCTGTGCCAAACCAGAGCACTTCCTTTTCTTTACTTTTGATGTTTGGTTCTTTTTCATTAACTTTCTGGTTTTTTTTTTCCTCCATGTAATATCATTGGGATTTATTATTTCTTCTCTAAGGAAGCCTAACTTCTTTCTTTTATTACTGTAGGCTTCCATGAAAACATATGTAAATATGAATCATGAATCCCAGTAAGTGCTAAAAAAATGCTTACAAATAAAGCTGGTAATTTGATCCTGTTACCTAAAAAAATATTGGTTATTTCTCATTAAGTGAGGCTGAGTATGCTTTGGAAGGGAATTTTCTATAGCAATATACATATTACTGACATAAGTCACATAAAAACATTTTGTGAAAACAAGATTCTTTCTTCCAATCAAGATCCACTCACATACCTAATAACAGTTCTCTTTTCCTGATGGCAAATCTTCTCATCATCTGTAAAGAGAATGGTATGATATGGGACCACTGGATCACAGGTTGGTAGGATGCCTGATACTACATGGTTCACCATATCCAGAATCCCATTGTAGACAAGCAAGTCATCCACCAGAAGCTAAAGATATTTAAGAAACAAACACACAAAACATCCAGAAATCAGGCATCACTTTCAGCAGCTGTCTCTATCAATTACCTAGAAATCGTTTTGCCCTATTTGTTTCACAAACGGTCATTAGTTTAGCTTTTGTTTATTAAAACTTCCATTTCTCTCTATTCGCTGCTGGGGTTTGATTTTTTTTTCCCCAAATTTTTGTCTTCTCACTGATGTTTCTAATGCAACTTTCAAGTAGGTAATTAAAATCGTATTTCATGTTTTACATAATTGCCATTCTATTAACTGGAGTGAATCACTCTTAAATCTAGCAATTAATGAATCTCACCTCACTTCAGCTGTCTAAAACTTGGGTTTGTAGTTTAAACTAGTCTTCCAGGCCTGCTTTATAGTCAGTGGAAAAAGAAAAGCATTATCCTGTCTTAAGACAATTATCTAAGAAAAAAAATCAGATAAAGTGTTCTTTCCCTGGACAAGAAAGGGAGGACAGATGACTGGCATAGATTAGTCATTTTAATACTAAATGCAGAGTTAAATGAGATGAATCCCCTCCTTTGAGATTATATGGAATCACACTTCAGTAAACTGTGAAAATAAGTACAGAAATCAAGCAAGCTGACTCACCAGAACATACAAAATGCATACAAAAACTACTTACACCAAATTCTTTCACACCTCTCTGAGGAGTTTTGGCATAATTCCATAACTTGATCATTGACACAGTAGTAGGTACATCAAAAATTACATATACCCTATTCACCTGTAAAAGAGAATAAATTTATATTTAACAGCACAAATTCCCCAAAGAAATTAAATTCTCATGTATGTTGCATCAAAAGAGGTCCATATTTAAAGTAATATAGCTAAAGAGCAGATAACTGATGCTAAGGATTTAAGTTCAGCTATCATCTCTGTCGATAATTCACGGATGTTGTCTCTACCCCAGAGCTGCCCTCTCAAATGTACCTATAACTCATCAGAAGATGACATCTACACCTGAGCTTGTCATCCTGGACTGCTAGTCAACTGGAGGAGGGGTAGAGAGACACATTTATGAGTATTTCATCAACCAAATACAGACATGTGCTTCAGGATAAGACAAGCTGGGGTTCGGTTTGGTTCTGTTCGGTTCAGTTCTGTTCTATTCTATTCCTAATTCTCTTCCATTTCTTTCTACCAAACATGAATGGCATCCACCTTTCTATTTGCAAGACTAAAATTTCTCCTATATCCTCTGACTTTGAAAGCTCTTGCAGAAATCTTGCAATTTTTGTGTGAGGTACACTAATAGGAATGTAGAGACAATTCTCCAGATGCTGGCTAACCAATTGTTGCTTGAGGTATTGTTTATTTTATTTTCAGTGACATCAATGTCAAGAAGTTAAGACCAAAGATTAGGCTGTAGGAAACCAAACTTGCCTATTACAGTTAATTCTATGCTATTCCTTTTATGAGCTACTATATTAACTTTGGGCCATCGTATCATAAGCTTCATCTCCAGCATCCTCTGAAGTTTTAATCCTTTGATGCACTGGAGAAGATACTGTTAATTGTATTAAATCATTATGCATTTTTTTTACTGAAGAAAGAAATGTAGATGTGATCAATAGAAATGTTTGTATCTGTGATTTTCCAGAAGACAATTTGGGCACAGTCTCCAATAGCAATTGTTAGTCTCACAGCAAATGATAGATTTGATGGAAAATACGCTCAAACAAATAAATAAAATGTCAATCAGTAACAGGGGAACAAAGAATTCAAATTGTACTTACATTAGTAATAAATTTGCAAAAGACAAAAACACTTTTAGAATTAGAAAGGAAAAGAAGTTTAGAAAGGAAAAGAAAGGCTATAATGTAAAATTTCCTTAAAGCTTTCAAACCTTCCAATATAGCAAAGAGTTAATTCAGCTTTCTAGGCAACCAGCATGTTTCAAAACAGCCTAGCAATGAGGATGTAAGTATACACAAGCTTTGGTTCAGCACCCCAGCTACAGAAGATGATCACGGATAGGCTGATTGCTTAATCCACTTGCACTTCCTGGCTGTACAACCATACCATGGAAGACGGAAGAGAGAAAAGTACTATGTGGATCCTGAAAAGGTATCATTTGCTACAGTTTAAGGACAGAAAGCACCACTAAATTGCTTACTCTTCCCTCCTGCGTATCACACTTTATCAATTTACCCTTTTAATACTGTTCTTATGTTCTTCTACAGAACTTTGGTGTTAGACATAACAACACAAAGCAGTGTATGCATCTGTGCTAGAACTCCAGGTACTGTCACTTTCCTTTTTGCCAAAATGAGTCTCTGCAAGCATGTCTTTTATAAGGACATGAGCAAACTCAGATGGTTGTCAGATCAACCATTCATGGTGTTATAAAGGATATCTGAGCATGCCATCAAATTAATTACCAGGACTCAAGATGTGGGATCTACACAGTAGGAGCCTCAAGCATTACACAGACCTTCCATTTTTCTAAGAAATGCAAGTGGTCAGTATTCTCAAGTATACTTAAAAGCTTTACCTTAATTATACCCACTGCATTACAACATATAATGATATATGAAGTATTTCCAAAAGTGACTTAATTCTTTGCTTTTAATATTCTAATAACTGTAACATATGGAGCAAGGATTTTCCAACACAGTAAGCTACAACATACCACACGTCAGGTTTACATTTTGTTACTTTTGAAATCCATCCTCTTGTAAGAAATAAATACATCTTAACGATGTCCATAACAGGCCCATAAAAAAGGTCCTCTCCCAAAACAAAGTCAGAACTCATCTAAGTTTATCTGCTTTTCCTGTTTAGGTATCTGATGCTCCATATTTTAAACATGGGGCTTCTAAAAGGGCTGAATCACTTGGTGCCTTAGGACATGAAATACTAAGCCTGTCATCTCTAATTTATGAATTTGAATTCAACACAGATAATGAGATTGAAAAAATTCTTACTGCTGGAACAATATTCATTGCTTTTTGTAAAAATGAATTTAAGATCCCACTCTGCTCCCATTTGAAAGGTGTTCATTGCACAAAACACGCATATTAAACTCTTTTGTCAGTATCTTTATGATAGCAACTGAAAAAACATCTATGGGCGCCTTGGAAATTCTTCTGCTGTTGCACCATGGAGACAGAAGGAGATTACAAACTTGGGAAGTCTATACTGCTGCTATCTGTGCAGTGAAGAGAAACTGGAATAAAAAGAACTTCTAAAAGGCAGTGATTTAGCATCATTTACTAATATCAAATTTAAATAAAATTATGTGTGCTCCCCCTTTCCTTTATGCTTCTAGCTACACCTATGCACGTCACTAAAATGGAATGAAAAGGGAAAATGTACCAAACCAGGAAGGACTGGTGCAAGCCACATATGTCTGCCATCAGTTGTGTCATTTACTCTGTCAATTAGTTTGTCTGGAGTTCGGATGTCTCCAGATACGTCTTCTAAAATGTTGACACTATCTGGAAAAGCAGCAATATCTGAAAAAAACTTTAAGCGTAAATAACCGAAAAGAACATTTCAGAAACACCATATTCAAAAGTTCATGACTGCTCTTTCAGATTCCATGAGCGAGTATTCACCACCACAGCAGTAATACTTAAAAATACTCTGACTACTTCACATAGGTGGCTGAGGAACTTGGGGGCACATTTCTAAAAGCAGGACAACCCTTACAGATTCTGGCATTCAAAATTATTTTTCGAATAGGAATAAATTTACTAGCTGCATTTAATTTATTTTCAAATATGTATTTATGACTTCATCGATAAAGTTCCCTTATCAGGAATAGGCACTTCCCAGCTTTTTTGTGACAAAGCCCCATTTTTTTAGCATGAACTTGTGAAAACTCATATGAAATATATCTCAAGAAAAGTATCCCTGCAGGAGGTAGTCATCAGTCAGATTAAGTTTCACTTGAGTTCCTCAAGGTTTGTGATAAAAATCAGTAACTGTCTAATAAGGCCTTCTTTCAGTTCTTTGAGAGGGAAAGATTAAACCTTCTATTGAACAGGCTTTCTAGGTAACCAGATTTTCTCCGTAAGAGAACATTTATGTTAAAAACATATGTATGTTAAAGACATGCAAAGAAATGTGGATGGATGGCACTGTCTTCATAATTATAAATCCCTAGCAATCCAGTTTGAGGGGCATTAATTTCCACTTGTCCTGCTTTCTAAAAGGCCTGAGTCTGTAAGTATTTATAAAGAATTTAAAGGAATAACACAGCAATGCCTCGACTGTTTAAGAAAAGCTTGCTCCAGACTCAGTACTGAATTATCACATTTAGTACTGTACTAAGACAAATATGCTCTTTTGGGGATCCTAATCTATCCAAGCAACACTACTGTACAGGCAGAAACAGGCGATCCTTCAAAATCAGCTAAGGTATCTTTACCTGGCATTGTATTGTACTGTAAAGACATACTGTTTAAAAGCTAAGGATCCCTTGTTCTTAAAAAAAAATTGTTACCACTTTTCAATTTCAAAATGCTTCTTCTCCATTACAGATGTTTCGAGTTCATCATGTATCATACAAGATACAAATAATAACAGCACTGAGGAAAAAGCCTTTATTACCTTTTTCATCATATCCTCTATTTATTAGGCAATGATGATCCTTAGAGACATACAATTCATGCAGTATCCATGCTTTTTATCCTTTCTAGATGGCTAAGAAACTGTTTCTTCCATGTGACTGAGCTACATGAATTATATGTTGGGGTATGAAGCTTTCAGCTCTTAAGAGACTTTAGCTGATGCAGAGCACTGAAGTGTAACCTTGATGACTATGAATCTTTCAAACATGTCCTTCATTCCTTCTCTTGGTTACCCAGGGAACACTGAATCACATTCAAAGTCTCAACCCTTATCTTCACAACTGGATTGGGTGTCTAGAATAGCCTAAAGCTCCAGAACAAGAGTTAGGAAAAATTTCTTTCTTGTAGCACAATGAAAGATTCCATAACAAAGAACTGAGCTCAACCTTTTCTTATGAATTTATAGCTCATCAAACTTTCTGGTCCTTCCATACTATAGAAGAAATAAATGTTGACAGCAAAAAATACCATGTCCTTTTTAAGCCTTCCCTTCTCTAACCTCGTCCTGCTTTGTTAGTGCATCCCATTCAGAGAACAAATGTTCTGAAAGTATACAGAATACATTAAAACATATGGAAACAAGTATCATCACACGAATATAGAGAAATACAAGCAGAGTAATCACATGGGATAAACTGGCAATTTGGAAGAAGTAGCAAGTGATGCTACATGATAATGTGCCAGGGAGCAAACTGTGTATCTGAAAGGGATAGAGGCGCTCGGTCTGTTGAAGGATACTGTTTTCAGATAGTAAGATTTGGTCTCCATGTTCATCGAACAACTCAAGTCCATTCAAACCAATGTAGTATGGATCACCCCAACTTGTCAGAAGCTGAAACTGAAAAACAACTAAAAAGCAAAAAGCTATTAAGGAAAATTTTGATAGTGATACTTTGTCCTAGCAGACTATTTAATTTGCAGTTTCAAAAATTATTGTGCAGCTCACATCTTGATGTCAGACACTCTTATTTGCAGTTTAAGACAGTGAAAAACAGCCTGTTTTTCACTTCTGACTTCACTATATCTTAAACATCTCTGAATAAACTATTTTAAGACAAGAAGTCTGCCTTTTCTATCACTGATAATATACAAATGTACATCTGCAGGTGGCACAACTAGGCATAAGTCTATCTATATATGTTTACATATATACATGTTCACATATATACATGTTCATATATGTTCTTCCATCAGATGAAGAACTACCGAAGTTTTTTATTGTGGGTCTTACCTTCTTGTACACTGCAACTTATTAACACCATAGCTCCTATTTGGAGCCTTTACTGCCTTCCTATGTTTCCTGAATATGCCTTTGCCTGGTTTTGAATTATATGGGTGATAATCAGCCAGCAAATATGTCCCTAAACTGAATGGCAGAAAACGTAATGATGGAGTCTGTGCTGTCCATTTCTCTAACGCAGCATTCATTTGTATCTCTTTGCTCTACCCCAACACTAATTTTCATGAAACTGGTAGGAAATAAGTATTGCTGAGACCTCATTGTCTCCAAACTTGGTTAGAATAGCCTAATGGATTTAAAAGGCCCATCAAATAGATGGATGGCATGACAGTAAGTATTATCACAAAAGGCTGTACTTATCTAGGAAAACTAAAGCTTAAAAAGCCACAAACATTAAGAAAAATCACAAAAATATTACACAGTTCTGATCAACCTTAATAAAGATATAAAATGAGACAAACATTCAAAGATATGCAAAAATACGAAGGCTGCTTCTATCTTTGATAGACTGGCTGGATACTGTGCTAATGGACCTCTAGCTCTAGCCTGGATCGATTATAAAAGGCAGGAGAAAAAGCTACCAGAGTATCTGAAAACAAGTCACACATTCATATATTATGTTCCTTTTTTTCATTCTTAATTCATACTTAATGGAAGCCTTTCTCATATTCTTGGTATCTTGTTAATTTCTTAAAGCACCAGAAATTGTTGGATTCAAAAAGGTCAGGACTCATAATCATAGTATATAACTCTAAAATATTCTATATGACAAGTAAGAAAATGACAGAGAAGGATACAACCAGATGGCATTAACGGTGCTTCATAGTCCATACTAGCCTGTTCCATTCTCTTTGAGCCAGTCCTACCAAAAGAAACAAGACAAAATATTTTCTTTATGTACTCTTGGCTCATTCAGAAAAGACGAGAATAAAATGAAAGAACTAAGCCTCCACAAACACCACCCCCAACCCCCCTGCCTGTGATTATGGACTAGATTGTCCTCTGATCTCAGTAAAATCTGGTTAACTGTATATAGTTAAAACCCAATGAAACGTTTTGCTCTAAGTGCTTCATATTTTCATCCAGGTGCCTCATACAATTGGCTTCAACAGAGAATATGAAAGAATACTGAACAGTTACGAGAAATTGTGTGGTTCAGATAGCAAAAACATCCTACTTTACCTCCTTTGTACTTTATTAATCAGCTGGGGCTGCAGATAGTCAAGAAAGAGAATTTCTTGGGCAAAGTCAAAATGGCAGTTGCCTGGTCCCTTGCGGATAAGAAAACCCTCTGGTGGGGAGATGCTGTGACCATCCAGCAACACATGGACTACCTTAGCCTGGTTTAAAATAACGTAAGATTACATGACATGATATTAGATTACATTACATAAAATAAAATAGATCCAAAACAATTGCATTCACTTCAGAGGCTGAAATAATTTCAATAATTTTGAATTCCTCTATAGTATGACATCCTTTGGCAAAAGAAAGCCTAAACCAGCAGATACCAGTTGCAACCCATAGTGTGCAATTCAGAGCATCGCAGCTGACACTGATGGGGATGGGAGAAGCAAGGATTTGGGGGAAAAAACCAACCAAATAAAAATGTACTGAAGAGATCCTTCAATTACTGCATCTCGCTAGATCTCAGCAAACCTAAGTTTCCTTTCTTCACTGAAAGGGTTATCAAGCATTGGAACCGGCTGCCCAGGGAAGTGGTTGAGTCACCATCCCTGGAGGGATTTAAAAGACAGTAGATGTGGCACTTAGGGACACAGTTGAGTGGTGGACTTGGCAGTGTTAGGTTTGCAGTTGGACTCAATGATCTTAAAGGTCTTTTCCAACCTAAATGATTCTATGATTCCTGAGCCTGCAGCAATACATACACATCAACAGGATGGAGAGACTCGGCTTTCAAGTCAGCATATGTCGCAAAGCTGATTTGAGGAGACAGTTAGTCATCATGCACCTGAATGTACTGCTAGACCAGGCCTGATTGCTCAGCATAAGCTAGCCTTTAAGAAATCACATAACCCAGTACTCTCTCTCAAGCAGACTCTTTTGTGTCTCTGTTGCACTTCTAGAAAGCCTGTATTTCACAAGTTCTATTTGTCTTTGTGGCAGGTGGCACTTGGACTTTTCCAGGATCATGCAAACTTGTCTACCCAGCAGTGCTGCATGTAACCTAAGGGCATATGAATAAAGAAGAGGTACCCGTACCAGGCAGAAACAATTGAGCCTTGTCCACATCATAGATGCATGCACGTCTTATACAATCTCTGAAGATTAAACTAAATAATTCAGGTATACTTATTCAGATGATGCAGGAGTCCTGGCCCCTTCACCCTCCCCATTAGCACCATCTGGTGTTGTATGCATGATCCCAGTCACATTCAATCATGCAGCAACAATTGTCACTGCATCTTGCCCTGAAATATGTTAAATATAACTTAACATTAATCATGAGCACCATTTATCGCACTGAGTCTTTCACTAACTACTGGTTAAGGAAGGAATAATACCTCTAAAATATAACAACATGGCCATATAACTGGCACTATGATTAAAGCTTGCTGATTAACATACTGAACCAAAATAGATTCATTTAGTTAAGAAAAGACTTAATGTAGTCTAAAGGTAATGTGAGTCAGTTTTCTAATCTTTGGATTTTATACTGACTGATGTATATATGACAATTTGAGGTTAACTTAGTTTTATATGCAACTATTTAATTCTCATTATTAGGATTTCTATTGAAAATAGATATGCAATATTTATAGTTAAAATTCCCATTTCAGGTGTCTATCTGAGAAGAACTTAAAAACATTCAGAGTTTTCTGCAAAGCCTGTATATTATCAGTGACCTGATATTCATAACAGTTTTCATATTTTTTCCATTTGTAATGATTTTTTATTCAATTACAATTTCAGTAAGTTATACATGCAATATCCCAAAAGCAAATAATTTTCAGGAAGTTGTTTGGGTTTTTTTACATAAACATTTCTTGATTTGAAAACCTCGGGTACTGTACTAGAGTAGAGGAGATGCTCAGTTCATTTCCAAACTGCATGAAGATTAATTAGGAGGGAATGTTTTTATGAGTACCAAGTTTTTATGAGTACCAAGTATGGAGAAATAACTATTTCTGGTTTCATCTTTAATATGCTTGGGAGCAAAGAAAGGAAATACCCTTTTCATATCAGAAACTCTTCTGCATGCTACTTTCCAGCTGAATCAGTCTGCCGGGCTAAGGAGAGGAAGTGAAAAACCCACTGAAATACACTTTAGTTTAGGAAACACATATTGAATGGGAAGTCTAGAGACTTAGAGATGAAATCTTACCTATTATACCACAGCTGCTTATATTTATGTGCCCTTTACAGCCCTCATTTCTAAGTAATTTTCATCATCTGAGAAGGCACTCAACCGTCACACATAGCATTTTACAAATCGCATAACAAAGCTTTCACAAGCTAATTTTTCATAGAAATAGCACACAAGCCTTCATTTTGACAGTTCACTGCCGTTACCCTCTCATACTAAAGCTGTGAATAGAATCCACCAGTCTACAGCTGCCTAGCAAATCATTATATCTCATACCCCGGGACTGTTTCTTAGAAGGAACAGCAATACTTCAATAGACAGATGTCATGATGCCCTAGGTTTATAGTCTAAAGCTTCTTCACTGTGGCCCAGCAGATACCTTTCATCTTCAGTTTTCCAAATAATTTATTTCATCCTTTTACAGGACTGCAGGTATGAACTCCTCATTTAAATTGTACCCACTAACTCTTATGGGACTTAGAGGTGTGCCACCTGCATGCATACTTTATCAGACTCACCTCTTTTTTCCTCCTAGCAAAGTAAACTGTGAAAATATACCTTCCTTTCTTTCTTGGTTTGGCTTCCAATGACCAAATTCCATGTTAGATTTTAGGATTTGGCTATTTCTTTCCCTCCTTTATAATTGAGACACACATACAGGGAGTTGAGAGCTCCTTGAGAGCTCTTAGAGCTGTACCACTCTCATAGGGAGGAGTTCTTTCTTTATGCCAAATCATATCAATTAAGTAACAGATTGTTGTGGTTTAACCCCGCAGGCAGCTAAACACCACACAGCCATTTGCTAACTCCTCCCCAGTGGGATGGGGGAGACAATTGGAAAAAAGGTAAAACCCGTGGGTTGAGATAAAAACAGTTTAATAGGACAGAAAAAGTAGGGAAAATAATAATAATGATAAAAGAATATACAAAACAAGTGATGCACAATGCAATTGCTCACCACCCGCTGACATATGCCCAGCCAGTCCCCGAGCAGTGGGCTGCCACCCGCCAGCTAAGTCCCCCCAGTTTTATTGTTCAGCATGACATCATACAGCCCTTTGGCCAGTTTGGGTCATCTGTCCTGGCTGTGTTTGCTCCCAGTTTCTTTCCCACCCCACCCCGTCCCACTTGCTGGCAAGGCAGTATGAGAAGCTGAAAAGTCCTTGACTTAGTGTAAGCACTGTTCAGCGACAACTAAAACATCAGTGTGTTATCAACATTATTCTCATCCTAAATCCAAAACACAGCGCTGTACCAGCTACTAGGAAGAAAGTACTATCCAGTACTATAGTACTACTACTACTGAAGTACTATTACTCTATCCCAGCCGAAACCAGGACACAGATTTTACTAAAAACCCCTAGTTGTTATACAGGGGGTATGTTGAGATGGTAAACTCAACACGCTCCTGAACCTTCCCATGTATCAAACAGGTTGGATTAATGCAATGTATTATGAAATCAGGTGCCATAGGTTAAAATTTCTAGATCAATTGTGGCTAAATGAAGGATCTTATGCTCTGGCCCTCTGGGAGTCTTTGGCCAGTCTTTGGCACTCAAGAACATCCCATGCTGATACTAAAAGATGCCAGGGCTCTGCTGTGGAGAGGGAACACCTCTCCACACATTTATGTGGTGTTCATATTAAAGCAATTCCTGGAAGGTAAATTTACACAGAGAAGCAGTTCTGCAACTTTTGCCACTATGTTTCCCAGTCCTATGAAGGATCCATGCCTCCAACTTAAATTCTAAAATTTTTTCCAGAACTTTGCTCATCCTTTTTGTCCTGTCTCTCTCTAGTTTAATACATACCAACATTTTTCTTCTTATCTATTGACTGAGTTTGGACATCAAGAATGCAACAGTTATATGTGAAGGGAAAGATCTGGAAACAAATGGATTCATAAACTTTCTATGCAGTGAACAGCAACTACTTCTTCATTATCATAACAAGTGCATGTATAGCTTCTGAGAAAAACCAGGGAAATGAGGGACAGCCAAACTCAGAGTCCCAGCAAGATGCAACATGATCTCCAACAGGTGTCAATTGTCAGTCAATTCCAATAATTCAATATGAAAAAAAAAGTAAAACAAGCGATTTGGAAAAAGAAGAACAGAGGTATGTTATACCATTTTAGCTAAACTACTTTAGCCAAACTGTTTGAAGATGTCAACTTTCCCTAATAAACACTGGAGTTCTAGAGACTCTTCCTGCTTCTTGGAAAAGGTAGTATTGATTGACCGGCCTTCTGTAACTTACCTAAGCAGAATTTCTGTTGGAGAAGTATCCCTGTTCTATCATTCCCCGTGTTCCAGGAAATAAAGAATCATATGGTAGGCATAAATACTATATACTGAGAGGATACCACTTCAGAATCATGTATCTTGAAAATAATATGTGCTATTGTATGTGTCTCTTAGAAAAATCAGCTGTGAAGATTTCTTTAAACTATCTCTGGCTTTTTTTCAATATTTGCTGTTTGTGGAGACAGAAATGCATTATACCTGCCACAAAATTCAGACTCAGACAATCTAGAAAGATTTATGGTGTTCCATTAAGGCAGCTGTATTCATTCATCACAGTACCAATTTTCCAATGCACTGCTGTATATTTTTGCTGGCACTGCTCCTTTTCTTTTACTTACCCCTCTATAGGTATCCTCTGGAGATTTATTATAGTTCCAAAAGCGAAGCCCTGTAATACTTTCAATTTTATCAAAATGGATTGTAAGCAGATGATCTTCTCCAAAAGAGAAGGGAATGAGCCACATATGGCCATCCTCTACTGTGATATTAGTCCCATCTATTAACCTACAAAGAGAAAAATCCATTAGCTGCAAAAAAAGAAAAGCTTGCTTTTCTCATGAAAATCAGGTACTTTACTAGGTGTTAATTTTTTTCTAGATGCCACTTCCAGCTCCTAGGGCTTATTGTGCTCATGTGTATACAATTAAAAAGCAAAGTAAACATAAAAAATAATATGCGATTGTTGAATTAAAGGCAGTGGGGGGAGAAAAAACAGTATCTCCTTTAGTTGGGCCCATTTGAGGAAAACCAGAAAAATCCTTAGGTTTTCCCTGTGTGAAAAAGGGCAGGCAGAGGAAAGCTCAACTACTTTTGTACCAAAATGGCCAAAGGCAAAACTCTAAGGCCCAGACACAATATAACTTATTAATATAGTTCCATGCCTAAACTAGTATATCTGGCACTTTGCGGTGTGTTATTATGCCAATGCAACCATACTGAATCCAACAAGGAGCTGGATGGCAGCTGGATAACCCAGAGAAGAAGCAGAGTTTGTTCACGTCCTTCTTCATGCACACAGTTAGGCACATTCCTACTTTTTTAAAAAGCTTTCTATTAGCACGACAATGTCTTTTCATAAAAGCACAGACTTCAGGCTGACTTGATAAAGTTATTTCCATTATTTCCTCATTTTGGAATCCTGACTTTAAATTCTTCTATCGCAAACTACAGCATACAAAGATGGGGTAAAGGAGAATATGAACTAATTATCCACTGTAATTACTTTGGTACACTGCCCTAGGTACTTACTATTTATTTAAAAGTCTAATGGAAGAATGAGTGCCAGACTTGGCAGTTCCTTAAAGAAAGACTTGAATAATGACTGTATCACAGAGGAACTGATTATGGATCCCATGAGAGAAGATATAATCCTTGACTTGGTCCTGAATAATACACAGGACCTATTCCAAATGCTACAGTTGAAGAGCACTGTAGTATACTCAAATTCAACATGCTTGCAGAAATATCAAAAGCAAAAGAAGCCCCTATTTCTTGTGCCCAAAAAGGTTCTTAAGCAAAAATGACAAAGTACATAAAAAAAAAAGAAAAGGCAACAAAATAAAATAAAATCATTATACAGAGCAGAGAGAATATTAAGGGATATCATACTAGAAGCACAGAACAAATGTATCCCACTTACTAAGAAAGATGTTAGAAAGAGGGAGGACTTGAAAAATCAAAGCCAGTCTGGCTCAGTGGCAGGATAAAGAAAGGTATTATAAGCCATCTTTCAACAAAATTAATGATCAAAAAAACCCTAAATTGATAGGATCATAAACTCTGGAAGGCTAAGTGCGTATGCACAGGCCAAAAAAGAATATGAAGGCTAGCAAGCAAAAGGTACCATAAATAAAATTCCTCAAATACATCAGAAGCAGAAAGCCTGCCAGAAATTCTGTAGGATCAACAGATGACAAGGCTGGAAAAGGAGCATTCAGAGAAGATAAGACACCAACAGAAAAGCTAAATGAATTCTTTGCATCTGGGTCCATCACAGTGGAGTATTGAGAGACTCCACCACCAGAATCTCTTCATCACAGGGGATCTAATGGGAAGATTTCTTAAATCTTGGTGCCTACAGAAGAGATTTTCATACAAATAGGCAGAAGAACTGACGCATTATATACAAGTAAGCTTGACATCTGTATTAGTCAGATTAGCAGAAATTACAAAGAACAGAGTTAGTGTAGATGTAGATAAATACAACATTCTAAGCAAGGCTCAACAAAGACTTTGAAAAGAAAAGTCCTAATTCATAAACCTATTCACAGACAACAGACATGCCAGAGGACAGGATTACAACTGAAAATACCCTTTAAAATGAAGATATGACTTGGAAACAACAGCATACAGCTTCAATAACAACCAAATGCCAACTCCTCTCCAGACCTATAGACTATGATTTCTATACTGCTACCATTTAGGAAATACAAGTTAATTTGAGGAAGTATACTTGTCAATTAATAAAACTTCACTGGAATTACAAAAAAAAAGCTGCAGAATTGCAAAAAGAATGGCACCTATTTGTGTAATTCCCTAATACATCCTCACCCTTTGCTAACTTGAAAATTGTCCTTGAAATTATCTTGAAATCCTGCATAAATATCACTGCATATGCATAGACAGATGCTACAGAACATCCACATTTCTGCCTGGAAAGTCCTTAGCAGAGATACCAACCAGGCATGTTACCATCTCCTAACTCAAACACCATCCTTTGGAAACATCTCATTCATGTTTCTACAACAAGCTGTTCCTGGGTAGTTTGTGAAATCCAAGAATGAGCAGTGATGGTATGAAAATCATGTTCACATTAACATGTGTTAACATAATAAAAGTTTATATAATTCTGTCACTTTATAAAGTCTGATGTAAAATGCATCTAAAATTGATAAACTCCAAAACTGTTTGTGGAAACAACAGGCACAAAGGGAAAAAAAGAGCCCTGCAGAAAATGCTTGGACAATCCAACTCTTCCACTACTTACTTTTCTAATGTTCTGGAATCTCCTGTATACTCTGGAAGATCATTTAAGTCTTGGGGTGAAGCAGAAATCTGTTCTGTACTTATTTTTAATGCATGACCATTCTTTCCTATCACTTCAAGTCCTGTCAGTCCAAGGTAATGAGAGTCTCCCCAGGTCATGGTAAAATTCAGTTGCAGACCTATATAAAAGAATATACATATAACATATACATATACATACTTACTGGTTTGAAGTAAGGAGCCAATATCAGCATGCATGCAAGCCCCACCAATTAGCAGGATGTGTAATTTGTTTAGATTAAATAACTTTATATGCTGTATTTGGATACTTCCTGGTCTGCATGCCTACCTCCATGTAATAGCATAGTATCTTCTGTAAATCTGTGTTAGTCCCCTTTAGTAGGCTACCAACATCTTGTTCGCTTGTAACTATACAACTCCTGATCAAGCATGTTATCAAGTGTCTCATTACTTAGATTGTAGACTGACAGTAATTCAAAGATACATTTAAGCAGTTACATGACAGATTTTGTGATTAAGCAGACACAGAGAAGACCTATTAGTCTAAAGTCTAGCTATCATCTTTTGCGAGCGAAATGACTATATAGATTCATATAAATCCAGTCTCTCATAAATCCATAAATTGTTAGAGAACACCAACTCATAGTTAAACCAAAAACCAAATTTGGTTTACTAATGTGTTTAGGTTACTATCTTCATGTCAGAACTGGACACACGGAAGTGTTTTAATGGGACAGCATTAGTGAAAAGCAGCAATGTTCATTAGCCTGCATCTCCAGAAAATAAATAGGAAAGAAAAATTGGGCAGACAAAAGATTGTATGTGTATCTTCAGATCCACCTGCTTCATGCCTTACTGAAAAAATATAAATAGCATATACAGATATAACAAGTAATATTCCAATTTGATCAGGTTCCATAAAAATCTATCACTGTAAATTAAAAATATCTTTCATTTCACACGTTACAGAAGCCCAGAAATAATCAGGTTGGATAATGTCTAAAGAAGCACCAGTAGTCATGACGCCCTGTAAAACAAACAAGCATTAAACCTAGTAAGCTATCCAGCCCAATTACCTCTAAATAGCCATAGCAATTTACACGAGACTAAATCTTGATATACACATAAATTCACTTGGGTGTAAGATCTCATTAGTATTTGCAAGGACACTAAGAAATAAATAGTTCTATTAGCTGACAAGTTTGGAGCTATGGCTGTATTGATATTAGATGCTATTCCCAAGGCCATTGCTAAGACTAAACTTGCTTAGGATACAAGCATGCAAGAGTTCTCAGGCAAAACCAGAGTATAGTTCCAAACAAAATGGAAAAGATAGGGTAAAGCAGCTATCCACACAAGGTTTAGTATTCACATCACCATGCCAATGCCTTCACAGAATCTCAGAATGATGCAGGGTGGAAGGGACTTCTGGAGGTCTCTAGTCTGACTCCAAACTCAGAGCATGTCCATTGGATTAGATCTCTCAGGAGTTTATCCAGTGAAAGTTTGAATGTCCCCAGGGCTGGCAGATTTCAAAACCTCTCTGAACCCCTGTTCCAGTGTTTGATTGCCCTCAGGGTGAAAAAGATTTCCTAATACCCAGTTGGAAATTCTTGTCTTCTACCTTGTTGTTTCTGCTGCCTCTCAACCCAATCCTATGTCCATGCCTGAGAACAGCCTGGATCTGTCCTTTCTATGCCCTCCCAATAGCTATCAACAGCAAGATTTCACCTTCTCTTCTCCAGGATGAACAAACCAACCCAGCGCTCTCATGCTTTTCTCACATGTCAGGTACTCCAGCTTCCTGACCACCTTGGTGACCCTCCTCCCCTGGACTCACACCAGTATGTCAATTTTCTTCTTGTCCTAGAGAGCTCCATACTTAACACAGTACTCCAAATACAGCCTCACAAGTGTCAAATACAGGGAAAGAATCCCTTTCCTTGCCCAGGTGGCTGCACTCTTATTTTTGCATCCCAGGAGGCAGCTGGCCGCTTTTACTGAGAGGCCACACTGCTGACCCTTGTTCAGCTTGTGGTCTTACAAGGACTTCAGGCCCTTCAGTGCAAAGCCACTTTCTCAGATAGGTGGCCCCCAGAGCCTCTTCTGTGGCATGGGTTATTACACCCCACACACAGGTCTTTGCATCTGCCCTGAACTTCATGAGGTTACATTAGGTAACATGCTGAGATTACCATGTCTTCAGCCTGTTGAGGTCCCTCTGAAAAACAGCCTTGCCCTCCAGCATATTAACCACTGCCCTCTGTTTGGTATCATCCACAACCTTGCCAAGATTGCACTTTATCCCATCATCCAAGTTCTTTAAAAAAAAGACATTAATCAGTGCAGACTATAGTAGTATTGATCCCTGAGGGTCATCTCTAGTAACTAGCCACTAGCTGGACTTTGTACCAGTGATCATCACACTTTGAGGCACTATTTCTCCTTGACATCATAACTGGTAGCAGGATGAAAGAGATGAAAACTACCTACAACAGGCCAAGGATACAAATCCTCGGTGAGTCCATACACAATTTATTACCAGGAGTCCCAGATGAAAAAGGCAGTACTGATCCTAAGTTTTGCACAATTCCCAGTAATTTCTCGGAACGAGAAGAAGCAAGAGGACTCTCACTCCAGGTCTAAGAGACCACCCCACAGAATAAGGAGAACAAGGAACAATATACACAGGCAGGACAGGGTATGCAAAAATCATTGGCAAAAATGAGGTTGTAGCTTCTAGTTGGTTTATTTACTTTTGTGCAAGGTCATTTACAAAGATAGTCCCTTGTAGCAATTAATGGCATTTTTTTCAGTGTAAGAGACTAAATTGGAGTTTCTTTTGTGTTTCATAAGACATGGAAAGCCTCCCTTAAATACAGCTAGCTTTCTCCACCTCTTTTCCTGCAAGAACTCATGGAAATCAGGACCTCTTTGTCTGGCAGAGACAAGTTAGTCCAATCAGCTGATTAACAATATCTTGTCAGTGTGAGACACTGCATCTGCTGAGCTCTGAATCACACCCTCACTATCTTTTTTGCCCATTTTGAGAAACTGGAGGAGGGAAAGGCATCTTAAGTTCACACATATGAATTTATCATAGACATGTTCATAGATAGAAGTTCACACATCCAGATATAGTTCATAGGTCATAGATCACAGATCATAGGTATAGTTCACAGATGTGTGGCTGACTAAGCTACAGCATTGTGTATATTTTCAGAGAGCACATCACAGGTTGCTAAAGACTTTATGCCAGGCCCAAGAACCCAATTTCTTTTGTGCTGGTCAAAGGACCAGGAACTGATATTAAAACTTCTGGGTCATCCAGAAGCTCTATGGACAATAATTTAAAGGCCCATAGAGAGTTGGTTTTGTACACGATAAAGAAATCAGGTACTTTAAGTATGGATATAACATTCTGGTCTAGCTTTACTGTAGGGTTCTATTGTCAATCCGATCTGAGAAATTCAGTCAATCTACATAAATACATAGGATTGGGAGAGAATTACTGGGTAAGGGACACAGCTATTACAAATCCCATTCAGGGACTAGGCAAATGGCTAGTGTTATTACTCTGAGATTAAAAGCCAACTGTTACGATATAATGTTCTAAATGCCATAGTAAACAAAGCTTCTGCCTTAAATATTCTATTACTCTTCTTCATTCTAGACCTGACATCTGTCACAAAGTTCTGTACAGCTCTGACAAACCAGATCCTCCTTGATGACATGTTAGGGGGGAGGGTGGCTAAGCAAGAAGTAAATGTAAGAACTTACATTTTCCAGTAAATATTCCTGATTCCTTAGGTATGCATTCAGAGAGAGGGTCTGGCTCTTGAACCTAAGAAGTAAACCAACAGGTGCAATGAACATGTATATCATATATACATTACAGACATTGTTTATAAAGTGGGGGGGGGGAGGATTTTTTGTCTGTTTCTTTGGGTTTGTTTTTGTTTTTTTCTTACATCCAGCCTTTTGTATATTAATCTCCCCTTTGCCTCACCACCCAGGCTGTCCTGCAAATAATGGAAAACATGCCCCAAAATGTAGAAGATCATATGGATCCTTAGAAAGTCAAGACTCTTAGGGTTTGGGGTTTTTTTGTTAGTGCATATAGGAGTATTAAATGGGAGACTCCCTAATGTGGGCTACCTATTCTCAAAGAGGCTGAAATTCTTAAGTGACTCTTATTTACCTGCAGACTGCCAAAAGATAATATGCTGTATTTGCTACATGTTGCAAATACGCTGCAGAGACAAGAAATCGGGAAGGAAGTTAAGACCTCAGAGAGTGCCACCACAATTTCTTCTCAAGAATCAAGGAGCAGAACAAGCAAGAAAAATTGTCCAAAAGCTTGCATTTGTTCTTTGACAATACTAATTAATAATAACCTATGCTATTCAGCATGGCACACCAGAAAGTGAATAAACAGATGACAAAATTTCCTCATTATACTGGGGCAATTAGGGTAGTAAAGACAAAGGACAACTGCAAAGGGTTGCAGTTAGACTTCATTTCATTGAGTGAGCATGATAAAATGGCTAATTATGTTCACTGTAGGTAAATGTAAAAATGCTACCCATGAGGAAAACAATCCTAACTTTACATATACAGTATTGGGCTCCAAACAAAATAATAGCAGATTAGAAGGAAATCTTGGCATTATTATAAGTAGTTCTACAAAAAAGTCAGCTCAATCCTCATTAGTAATGCCTCAAAAAGCCAAATAGGAAATTAGAAGTCCAGACTCCATCTCTATAGTTTTATTCATCATTAGAAGTAGACTTCCTGTCATCCAGAATACATCAAATGGACCTACATTGTGCCTAAAAAAAATAAAAGACTCGTCAACACTTTTCTCCTATGGCTATATTAGATCTGTGCAGTATAACCACTGACATCCTGATCTTATATGTGTATGTTCCCAGACTGCAATGAAGTCATGTAATAGCACATGTCCTTGTGGTAACTAAGTAGGTGAAACTGAACAAGAACTGGACACTGAAAAAAACACACTCAGATAACCTACAGAAGGTGGAAAAACCCCCTCCTATTGGGGGTACACTGTCTTTGATGCGTGATGCCTTTTCCTCAGAACAACTTTAAAATACCAGCCTGGGAATTAAAATTTGCAACTCTACTGAATATCAAAAACCAAGGATACAATAAAGCTACTGGGTTTACAGAATGCAGAATAATGCCCTCCCTTGCAGGCCATAAACTGTCTCTGCCAAGCCACCTTATCACCTCTTTTCTCCCTTGTCCTCCTTTCTTGGCTACTCAGATCCCTTCATTCCAATGGTGCCCACTAACTTTTCTTTCAGATATGGTCTAATTTTCTACTATTTCAACTACTTCTGCTTGTGAACATTGTCCTGTGTTGTTAGATCCTTATGGCTAGAACAAAATACCACCATAGTACAGGAGTTATTGGAAAAGCAATAAATAGTAGAAAGTGTTACCATGCTCCTACACTTGACCATACTGTATAGCACTTTCCATACGAGGAATAACTAAAGTAGGACTAACCATTCTGGAAAAGAGAGATTTAGAAGAGATTGTAACAGACGGGCATAAATCTCGAGTGTCTTGAAGAAGGGATTGGGGAATAATTGTTTAGTTTCTTCCAACACAAAAACCAGGGGACATTAAATGAACCTAGAGACAAACACAAAGAGGTTCTTTGTGCTATGCCAGTCAAGGGAAACTTAACACAGAGCATTTTAATTTGTAAAAGTGCATGTGGTTTAAAAAAGCTAGTAGATGAATTAACGCAATAAAAATCCACGGCAGGATACTAAACACAGAGGTTAAGTCAAAAAGTCCTTGTGAGACAAATTTCTAAGGACTGGATGAGTGTTTCAGAGAAACAGCACTGCATGTTTGCTCTATTCTTACATTCTCCATAGGCATCCACTACTGGCCACAGAGTTGGGTCAAGTGCACTAGTTACAGGTCTCACCTGCTATAAAAGTTGACATGTTAAGGATTACTGAATTCATGGCAAGACAGATGACCATGGATAATATTGACAAGAAAGAAAGACACTTCAGTAAGAGCTTTTGAAAAGCTCTGTAGTCAGTGCAGTAAAACACTCTTTCATCCACTGAACATGCTACAGGATAAAAGGGTGAATGATCAACAGGTAGAGACTGTTCAAACTCAATAGCAGTCTGAATGACAACGTTATGCTAGGGAAGACAAATCATCTAGTAGATCTGTATCATTCTGACAGGATAGCATAAGCATCCATCTATAAAATCTTGGTGGTACCAGCGAATACAGAATGACAGGGAGACCAATAGCTCAGTCACAATAGCTTTTGTTATTCCATTGCTGAGACAGCATGTTTCAGAGTTGGAAAAGGAGTATGAAGAGCATCACAGATGAACAGCAAAATAAAAGGCAGAGGCTCTGAGTAAGGACCAGTCAGTCCAGGTCTAGGCTTCTGCAATGGAAGCGGTCCTGGTGAATGCTCACAATAAACAAGTGATCAAGAAAAGAAAGGTGAACTTCAATTTGTGTTCATGAGATCCTGCACTGCATAAGGTGTCTGAACAGTTTAAGATACTGCAAGCAAAGATGGGACCAAAATTACTGTTGCCAGTGTTAACTAGCACTGGAGAAGTCAGAGTCACTGACTCATGATCTTAACAGTGAGACTAAATTCCAATGTCACGACATTTCCCTTTGTCTTATAAGCCACCAGGAAAAGAGGGCAAGACAGAACAGGAAGGCTTGACAACAGCACAAGACTCATTAGGAACCATGTATCACTGGGAGCACTTTAGCTGAACCAGCTGGAATTTGGATTGATTCAGCTTTGGATCTCCTCACAGCCTTACAAGTAAGAGTGTGTCCTCTAGAAAAAGATAACCTCATTGAAGCAACAGTAGGTGCTCATGAAGATTCTAAGAAGGTAGATTTGATGGAAATCAGGTCAAAGACTGCCCCACACCATCTTAAGCAGAAAATCTTGAAGGATCTTTGCTCAGACACTGGACTGTTGGGCTGGAATGGTATGAGACAAGACTCCAGTGCTTGAAAATATGGCCTTCCTCCAAGTAGTTAAATATCTACTGTATGGAATAGTAAAGGGCCGTTTTTATGCCGCAAAATGCACACAGACCTGTGGAGATGCTAGTCAAAAAAGGAAAGAGGAAAAAATAAGGGGAAGATTGAGAGGTGGAGATCCTTCTCATGTGAGATACTTAATTTGTGGAGGAAGAAACAAGCAAGAGTATACTCTGTGTAGAAAACATGGAAAAATCTTTGGTTTGGAGTGATAGGGAGTACAGTTACTCATTACATGAATAACTGTATGGTAAAAATCACTGACAGTGGCATAAACATTCAGGAGTACCTAAATCAAAATGAACTCCCTCTGATCTCTGTCCAAGTAAGTAAAAAAAAAAAAAATACAATCCAGTGTAGTCTTCCTTACAGTGTTCTTAATTAATCAGGGAAACTAAAATTTGGAGGACCTTCTGGCCTTAAAAAAATTGCATAAATTATTGAGCTGGTGAAAAAAAAAATCTTCAAAATAGATAGCAGTATTAGTTCTTCTGCAGAGCTTTACTCTATCATGGAAATCAGTGTCTACTACTTCTGTGTCATGTTTCATGAAGACATTTATAGAGAGTTCTGAACATAGGGGCCCCTACCTGTTGATGCTCTGTTCTTAACCCTGCTTGTGTAAAAGGTCTTTCATCTCCCTCCCTATCAGCAGTTGTTGGCCTCTTTAGCTCTTCTTCATATCTCAAGGAGCTGGCATTTTCCATTTCTCCATCATATGTCTCATCATAGCAGTATACAGCTTCAAGAATATCATCATCGGTAGTGAACAATATAGTATCCCCAAAGTGCTCTGGAGCTGAAGGCAACATACAGAATTAAATGGAGAAACCATACAAAAGAATATGCAGAGTGATAAAAACTATTTTCAGTCCTTCTTTATATTTAATTTGCAGTAGTGTTTAAAGATGATATATGGTAAATTGATACAGACCACTGATACAACTAGTATGTTCATTCTCAAACTTACACTGCACAGCAGAAAAACCTAGAGAAGTCAGTCAAATTTCAAATACACATAAAAGAAAATGGGAAAGAAGCTTGTCCATCACCTTTTCCAAAAGACTGTATCTGTGAAAACAAGTAAAAATCTGCAACTTTTAAATGTCTAGTGACTATCTGATGTTATTGAAATATGGTCTTGTTGCTAAGACATCATTAAGAATAGAGATTAGCTCTGTATGCTGCTAAAATTCACAGTATCATTGAAAAATGCATGGGTGGGTTTTGCATTGCGTTTTGAAATTAAAAGGACTAAATACTATACAAAGTGCCAGCTTGCTTTGAAGTGGAAAGTGATTACAAACAAGCTAAATGTATTTGTTTGTATTGTACTGCTGTTTCCACAAAGAAAATAAGAAATGATAGCATACCTCCAGATAAGGTTCCTGAAGCTTTCGCAATTTCTCCTTTAAAGATGCATTGTTCATCTAACACCATTATAATGTCTTTCACACCTCTGAAAGAGTGTATGCGAGATTTATTATAATTCCAAATCCTAATCATAGCTACTTGACAGGAATTCACAAAGTCAATAAAGATGAAGTGAGGTTTTCCAGGGGTAAATGGTGCTAGCCAGAGATGCATATCATCCTGCGTCCGATTTACCCCATCAATTAGGTTGGTTATTATTCTGGGATCATTGCCATAAGCTGGTAAAATATTTATATCAGGTGGTTCAGCTGTTATTTTTGAAATCTGAACAGGCTCTCCTTTAGAACTGAAAACTTCAATTCCATTAAGACCAACATAATGTCTGTCTCCCCATGTTGTTTGAATGTCTATCACTAAGTGCTGCCCATAAGGTAAAACAGGAATTTTAAAATCATTTCCATCATATGCCTCCACAGAATTTTCTTCTTCTTGCCTTTTTGGTAGTGTTTGTAGTCCTTCTTTTCTCATTTGCTGATATTCTCCAGGCCGGTTGATTTTCTGTTGATGGAGAAACTCATCAAAGATATCCCCTTGAAAATCCATGTTAGAGATTCGGCCACGATGGGAATAATTAAACTTTACCAAGGAGTTCCAGGACTCCTGCAGAGTGTGTTCTTGTTCATTGTGCCACTTTGCTCTAGAGGTTGCTATGTCCCTGACAGAAAAGTCTTCATCTGAAAACAACATTACATAGGTGTTTAATGTATAAACAGGACCGGAAGCAAACTACTACAACACTGACTTTCCAGAATTATGCTGGTCATATTTGTGTTCCCTGTTACAGTAGCACTTTTGTATTGCCTCCCTATTATGAAGGCTACATGTCCCAATTTCCCTTCCCCATTTACACATAATGAAAACAATCACTTTTAACTATTGAAGAGCAGAGCACATGCCAAGATACAAAGCGCAACTAAGTTTGAGACCACGAATTCTTGACTCAACACTTACAGAAATTGGGATTTTGCCCAGTGATACCTTTTGTGTGGCTGCCACAATAGTTTAAATCATCTGTCTACATTTCTGCAGAAAATCTTTCATACAGTTGGAAATGGCTGAACTGGTTAAGTTTCTAAAGCATTACAGAGAAAAGCTAGGGCTTTCTGTCAAAATCAGTCACGTGAATATAAACAAAAGTGGTCAGAAAAGAAGTAGGTTCAGTATACAAGGAGGATGAGGTCAATGTTGCATTCCACGCAGGTAACATCCAAATATTTTTCTCACTTTTCAGCAAGTGTGAGATGTAGAAGGGGGATAATGACAAAGTATCTAATGGGAACGCAGTGGGGACTACAAATTAGAGGGGCCCAGTGGGAGCAAAGCATGCTCTCCTTGTGACTGCACTGGAGAGCTGCTGAGCTGCTTAATTTCCATCTCAGAACAATTAAGAGCAGATAATACCAAAGATTTTCAATAAAGCTGTCACTTATGTATTTTCTTCAAATAAATGAAGAAAAGCAAGTGGAGTACTAAACAATTACAGGCCCATGGGCTATATTTTACTTCTGTACAATGTCCTTGAGCGGCTACTAAAACAAATGGTTATCAAGAATAAATGCCAATTGCCGTAAAATGCAAAATAATATTTTCCCAAAAGACTGCTCAAGACTAACTTTTAACTTTGTTTTTGGAAACACTGGGAAAGAGGCAATGTTCCTAATCTATCTATGGCCAATAATCATCTACACTGGGGACAAGAGAGACAAAAATAAGAATTTCAAAGCAGATGGGAAACTACCTGAAAGAGGACTGTCTTCCAGAATGAAAGGCTGGAGACCAACCTGGCCATTCCTCTTTACCCCGCAAGGGAAATACAGATAGGAAGTGAAGGTACGTATTTCAGAGAACATCAGTCATTTGCAAGTCACTTTCTTGTTCAAACCTTTGTCCATATGGATACTCAAGGGGTGAGTGATCCCAAACAGTACTTCTCAGAGCCTCACAATTTACCTGAAGAAGATACTGTATATATATTTACCATTTTAAAATGTCAAAGCTTGAAAATTTCAGAATGAGCACGTACAGAAGAGTATTTGAGATTCATTGGCTTTCCTTGTTTTGGAGGGTTTTCCTTTTTTTTTTTTTTTAATGTTAAGTACTTCAAGCAGTACAGAGATTACAACTCTGAAGCACTTCTACAGCAGTTCAATAAAAGTGATTTTCAATGGGAGGTTAACGGTTTTGTTAGCTACGTTAAGGAGTGACAACAGGAGAAGTGGAGCTCTAAAAGGAAAGCAGAGAATAGCCCAAAAGCAGAGGTCAATGGCTGAAGGCTTGCAGGGCTTGACACTTTTTGTAGAATCTAAAATGTATTATTTTTATTGGAACCATGTGAACAATAAACTCTGCATGTAGATAAAGAGTATCCCACTTGCAGATGTTAGAGACACTCTGCATGCCTGACAGGATTGTATGATGGATGTTATCCAGAGTCCAGAAATAATGACACCTCAAACGTGCATCTCCCCTGTGGGTTTCAGAGGGGTGCCTTGAATCACCAAGTCCCTCGTCCTGCATCTGATGGCAACACACACCATACAATTCCTCTCAAAACTTTAGTAAACTACATTTTGCAGCAACACTAGCTTGAAAAAAAACCTTTCTTCTCCCTCTGTTGTGTTAATCTCATTTTTACTCCCTGCAGTTATAAATAGCAATCATATTTCCATGCTGCAATCACACGCTTCATTTCCCAAATCATTCTAAAAGCTCTCTCCTGTATCTGTTCCACTTTGTAATCAGCTTTCCTGAAAATGGATGATCAGAACTGCCGTTTTCCAACTGACGTCTCATGAGTGCCTGTGTTGAGATATTAACATTTCCCTAACTAACAGAAATGCTTGTGCTGATACATCCTCTGAGTGCATTGCTATAATCACGCCTGCGTCACACTAGCATTTCATGGTCAATCTGTTATCAACTACTCAACCAAGATCCTTCTCTTCCTCGGTCATTTGCAATTGATGATTACTCAGCTTACAACTTAATTTTTTGTTATTAATCCCCAAATGACCCTGCAAGCAGTACTATTGAATTGCATTCCATTGCTAATACTCCAGTCCTCAAGTTCATCTTTCTGTGCAGTTCTTCAATCTTCTTAACTCATAATACCCCAAATTATATGTTATTTGCAAATTTTACCAGTATACTTCCATCATTTCCTTTGCACATTAAACCAGTTATCAAAGAAAAATTGTTTTTATAGCAACATTAACTGGAGCCAAGTATGCATGTACGTGCTATTTCAAATTTCTGTTGTTCTCATTATTCTTCATTTAGTGACCAAAGGCATGCTGTGACATTGCATATGAGCTTGTGCAGCCTCCCCTTTGTCACATACTGCTATTGGGAAACTGCAGCTCCCCATGCCCCATGCCAATTAAAATTCACCACTCTTAGGGAAACACTTAAAACTGTTTCCCTGTTGTTAATGCTCACTCAGTCCCACTTTGAAGATGGCTTTGTCCTGCACAGTACAGTACAGAGAGAACAAAAGCTGTTAGATGGCATGCAATTTTCCCAGGGACAAACACATATTAGGAGTTTTAAGCACCAGATGACAAAACCTGCTCTGAGCAAAATTAGAGGACATTATAATTAGAATCATGATAACCCTCATCTCATAGTTTACATTAAAACTCCTGAATTGTTACCATTTTTACACCTGACCAGAAATTACTAAGGTGGGATTTATTTACAGTTTCCATAATGTTCACAAGTTTTGAATCTAACAGAGATACTGTAAAATGTGTGAAACAGCAAACGGGCTGCAGTGAGTGGGTAGGTGAAAGGAAGATGGCAGTTGTTTCAACCACTTCCATACTTTTTTCTTCTTTGAGGTATAATTTCAGATATACTTATAAAGTTGCTGTTTTCTCCACAGAGGGGCAGAGAACAAAAAATTCAGACATTCTAAGTTTAGAAAGAACCATTTTCCTCACCTTTGTCTGAAAAATTCATGCAGTAACTGCTGTAAAATTTGAACTGGTATTTCTGCGTTTAGGCACATTTCCTGTCCCTTATGACCACAACTTTAATGTAAACACCCAAATATAATATACAGCAAGCTACACTTTCACGTAAATTGTTCTGATTCTAAATCACTCCCAAAATTTCAGTTTGTATTTTTGTAACCTCTTCTTCCAATTCTCCGGGCCTTGTTGTCCTTGTTCTGCCAGACACTCTTCATTTGAGACAAGTTATTGAATGCTTAAGAATTACAGAATGCCAAAGAAGGAGTATGAAGGGTCCAAAATAAGGAGTCAGAGTAACACATGGCTAGAAACTGAAAAGGGGACATTAAAGATATACTCTGAGCAATGGAAATCCAAAAAAGTTGGCTAAAAGCAAGACAAAGTAGATCTTGTGGGTAAGAAATTCTATTATTGTGTTATTTACAGTTGTTAAGCACAAAAATACTACCCCACACCCAGAAAATTTCTTAGCCATAGATTGCTGGAGGTTGGGAGAGAGCAGGAGCTTCAGAACTTGCCCAGTTCTCGTACTCCTCCCTGAGGACACACTGCTGGCTACTGCCAGAGGCAGAATACAACTACACGAATCTAGATCCTCCAGCTCCAACAGGATCCAGGTGAACTAAAAAAAGGTTTGGAGAAGGATGACAAGGATAATAAAAAACATGGAGCAGGTAACAGCTAAATTTACTACAAAACTCTTCATAAATAAGCAGAGATGTCTGAAAGAAAGATGTTTGAAAGAGGTATGCAACTTCATGAATGGAGAAGGGAAAATAAGGAGAGTTTTCCATTTGCTATGAATAAACATATTCAGCATATATTCTCACTGAGAAAGACACAAACTTACTACACAGATAAACTGTAAATTTACTCACTACCTTGAAGTCACACTCTTCTTTATCTTTTTGTAAATTGTCTGCAGGACTGTCAATTTTTAGAATATAATTTACTGAAATTTAGTCTTCAATCTTCTCCAAATAAATTTAAAAACACTAATTCAGAATGTAAATTTTTCAGAAAAAGAGCATTTCACATCAGGTGTAGGATAAGGAGAGAGACTCTGAGCATTGTCATAGTATGAATGAGAAAAACTGAATACTGCAAGTAGCAAAACTAAAATCCCCCTGTCTATACTACCAGGAATCTCAAGAGGTCCCTCCCCACCTAAATGATTCTGTGCTTCTGCAAAATGGAGAACCTGTCAGCACTTACACTAAGGTTGCTATTGTGAGCATTTACCTTTGAGAGCGGAATCATCTTCTCCAAGATTTACAGTGTTTAATGCCACCTTTTTTACACATCTGACACTTCTCCTTCCACTTGTAGGGTACTGCAGGCTGCAGCAATTTTTGTTAGAAAGTTGCTCCGAAATGTCCAAGCCCACGTCACCATCCTTTCTGGTTAGCATTTGTGACCTCTCATCTCCATTTGCATTTCTACTACTTCTCTGACATTTGACATCCTCATTAGTCAGATCTGAAAAGTTTTTCATGATTCCATCTGACTGTGTTTGAAATCTCAAGCCTAAACAATGTTCTGTAGCAAGCCAGGGAGGCTTCTGCTTACTGTAAGTGACTTGATTATTCTCTGTTACTTGGGAAGATGACTGTAACCAAGAAGGAATTGCACCTGTAGAATCAGACAATTTTCTTCCTGTTAGCTTTTCCATTTGCTCACTCAAAGAAAGTTCATCATCACATTGAACATGCTCCATAACTGCCTGTACTGTTACATTATCTTTGGCATCTTTTATACAAAATTGAGATGGTACTACTTTTAGATCATCCTCCAACTCAGACAAATTTTTCTTCGTAAAGCTGACTGAGTTCATCCTATGCTCAAGAAGATTTTCTTCTGGCAGAGAAGTATTGTTTGACTGTAAGCATTTAAAATGTAGGTCTGCTTTCTTCTCTGTGACTGCAGGTGCATCTACTGTTTTTGTTTCATTTGAAGAATATGCAGAGATATCTTGCTTGTGATCTGTAAGGTCAATTGTAGTGCTATAGTCAGTGAGGAGATCTCCAGAGGCTCTCTCTAATTCGCCATCAAATACAAGGTTCTCATTAACATATAACTTCACCTTCTTTGCTCCAACATCAAGGTCCTAGAAAAATGAAAGTATGAAGATTTCAGTTAAGCTATTCAAGCATTAGGTATCACTGTCCTGGAACTCTGACATCTGAACACTTAATCAATAAGCAGATGAAAACGATTAAAACCCTGTATCAGTAACATGCTTTCGACTACTTGTCGTGGTTTAACCCCAGCCAGCAACTAAGCACCACACAGCCACTCGCTCACTCCTCCCCAGTGGGATGGGGGAGAGAATCAGAAGGGTAAAAGTGAGGTAAAGCAAAAGCCGCACACGCAAGCAAAGCAGAACAAGGAATTCATTCCCCACTTCCCACGGGCAGGCAGGTGTTCAGCCATCTCCAGGAAAGCCGGGCTCCATCACACCTAACAGTTACTTGGGAAGACAAATGCCGTCACTCCAAACGTCCCTCCCCCTTCCTTCTTCTTCCCCCATCTTTAGATGCTGAGCATGACGTGCTATGGTCTGGAATATCCCTTGGGTCAGTTGGGGTCAGCTGTCCCGGCTGTGTCCCCTCCCAACTTGTTGTGCCCCCCCAGCCTCCTCGCTCGTGGGGTGGTGTCGACGCAAAGTCACGGACACTGCACACAATCAATATGATTAAAGCAGATGCCAATATATAAACCAAGCTATTTGGGCAATAAAAGTATTTTAGTTCCTGCTCATGCGTAAGCCATCTGTTGATTGGTTAACATGTGCTGTCCACGCGCCTAAAACAATAATTTGATAGGATAAGGCCTTCTGATCATGCCAATGGTTCCCCCCGCCTGTAAATTGTCTTGTGTCCTGCTTTCAGTCACATAGGCCCAACTTTGTTCAGCATTTTGTGCTTATTTCATCAAACTTTTGTAGCAACAGTTAGCCTTGTTCTACTTTTCGTGCTTGCTTCATCAAATTTGTAGCAACAGTTAATCTTCGCCACGTCCTTGAGGCCTGCTGCCTGCAGAGGCCTCTGGCTCATGGAATAATCAGTTCCATTGTGCCTGGACTGTTCACTATATGTCCATTGTTTTCTAAATATCCCACAGGGTGGGGTGAGAAGCAGAAAAGGCCTCGACTCTGTGTGAGCCCTGCTCAGTAGTAACTAAAACATCCCTGTGTTATCAATGCTGTTTTCAGCACAAATCCAAACAACAGCCCCCTACCAGCTACTATGAAGAAAATTAACTCTATCCCAGCCAAAACCAGCACACTACTTCTTAATCAAAAGCTCAAACAACTGAAAAATACTGTGGAATATTTAAGATTTTATTTAAAAGTGCTAAAAACCTTGCTAGGCACTACTATGAACCACTTTGGCTGACAAGGCTTAAACATTTAGAAAAGCTTGAGCAAAGAAGCCTAGATTGAGTATAATTATATTTGATCAAGATATAAATTCCAGAGGCACGTTTTGCTTCAGCATCTTTACGATTCACCACTTTCACGACATGTTCCACAGCAAACCACCACCCTGATCAAAGCCACTAGAGTTATAAAGAGTTATAGAAATACAGGGCTGGAAAAGACATAAAAAAAAATATCACCTGGTCCATCTCTTTCCACTGAAGAAAGTAAAATAACCTATACCATTGTGAAGAAATCTGTTTTTAACAGTTTTCAAATAATCTGCCTTGATAGCCTATTTCAACACTTAACTAGCCTTTTAAATAGAAGGCCTTTATGCCAGACACAACTCTGCCACTCACAACCTTATTTCTGTGTTCTCCTTTTCTGTGGCACCCACTAAAACCTGATTTTTTCATTCCATTGAAGTTGGAACTAGTGTTTTTTCTATTCTCTTTATCATTTCCATTTAACCTTTTCTCCCTCTTGACAAAAATACTGGTATCTTCAAAGAAAACACAGAAGATGAGACAAAATCCATCTCTTTTCTGCCCTCTGAATTTCAGTAACATGTCCATCACATGGAGTCTTTAAAGACTCTCTTTTCTTTCCTTATTTTCATGGAAACTGAGAAGCTTTTCATGAAAGTAAGAAGTTTCAGTTTCATCCCTCTTGCTCATCTCCTGGATGTCAGTTCTCCTTGAATACTGATTTAAATTTTCATCCGCTCCCAGCCTCAACCAGTTACTCCTTTCACCTTCAAGTACAAGTATCACCAGTTCTTCACTCCTGCATGCACTCTTTACAGCTTACAAGTCTTTATAACTTCCATTCTACTGCTTTTCAAATAATAACATGTATGAGGCAAAAAATGTAATATGGACTTACACAGGAGGAAAAACAGAAGATGCAGGCATAACAAGAAAGCTACAGTTGAGCAGGGGGAGTACGTGTAGGAATGCAAGACACATTCCTGAAACATTCCTGATAGAAAATGATAACCTTCACTAACTTCTCAGAGAACAGCTGTAAACCCAGTTTAATTGGCCATTATGTCATGGCTGCCTGTGTTACTCCTAGAGTATCATAAAGTGCTATATGTCTGTACTGATGCATTTGGCAATAAAACATGATATTTTTTCCCCTTGAACAAGGACACTGCTAAATTAATCTATTTGGGGATCAAAACACTTTAATAATTATATATATTAAAAACTAACTACATGGCTTTGCCTGAAATTATGATGGAGAAGAGAAAGACTATCAGGATGCTCCAGTAGTGTTATTTTTTGAATCTCTGTATGTCTGGACTGTTAATGTCCTCCTTTAATGCTAGAGATATTGGATAGTCACAGCTGAACTTGGGATACCTGCAACATTTCTATAGAATATCCTGGCCTCTACTGCTGTTAGTTCTGTACTTTGACCTGGGAACAGATATAAACTGCATGGAACCACAGAAACATACACATGTATATTTTGAAAAGTGTTTGTCAATTTCATCTTTTTAAACTAAAATCAGCAACCTCTTAAGAACAAGATGTTTTGAAATGAATCCCACTCCACCCACCAGTACTGGAGGAGGACAGGTAGACAGAGAAAACATTACAAAATGAGATGGTGGATCCCTGAATGAGGGACAGTCAAGCACAGAAAAGGGCCAGTCACTTCAAAATTACTATTCCAGTCAGCGGGAAATGACCTCCCATTCTCTTGCACCAAAATTCTAAGCAAACTGAGGCTCAGAGGGGAAAAATATGAACAGATCTCGGGGACTCCAAGAACAAACATATGCAGGCACATGACTAAGAACTGCTCTTTTTCATTCCCTCCCACCCCTCTTCTGAGCCTCCAGTTGCTTAGTGATCAGATGTGGTGGGAAAGATTGACAGAATGGTTAGCTTCCCTAGCACCACTGCTTAACTCTCCTTGAGCATGAGGAGGTTGGAGAAATCCCTTCCTCCTGAGTAATTCCATCAAGAAGTCACCCTGTAAACAAACAAAACTTCATCCAAGGCAGGTTTTTTTCTTCCCAGAAGAGTAATTAGAATGACACAATGTCTCAGGACAAGCAAGTAGGTATGATCAACGTCAGAGGAAAAAAAATGAAAGATTTTGTGAAAATAGTTCTACAGTTTCTCTTGACGTTCCTTCCAGCTTGCACTTTCAGCCCTCAGAGTGCCTCCTGGGCTAGTGCCTTCCAATGACGCAACAAGGATGGCATTTCTGGCCATTTCAGTGATATTTGTGCACAAAGGACAAAGCTTAAAACCAGAGGCACTTTTCTGCAAATTATACCTGGACAGAGGACTTGAAGTTGCCTCTGCCTGACGTCTCACAGAAGTGTGAAAAAGAAAGAACAATAGAAAAGAAGTAAAGAACTAGAAGATAAAAGTTCTTCTATAAACCTAACTCTGCTGGAACAAAGCTGCTGGATCCTTACAGGCAATGCACCCTAGTAGTAGTCCAGCACTGAAAAAAATCTCCAACTCAAGAGAATGGACATGAATGTACACACAGGAGAAACATGCATATAGGCAATCGCTTGAAGAAGAAAATGATCCAGTTGGAGAGCAACTAAGACATTCATGCTTTTAAGTATTAATTCCATTCACAGATTTGTGAAGACATACAACAGATATTATATTGGATCTTATGAAAAGAGTTTTAATAGCATCAAGTAACGATGCAGTTTCAAGGCTGTAGTAAGTATTTATGAAATGTCTGGATATTTCAAACTTGAAAAGAACTGGCTGCCCTTACTTACACTTGATCTCTTCTTGCAGACTAAAAATGACCTCCTTTTTCGCAGACCTCATCTGAAGTAAATAAAGGCAAGAGGAAGCATTCTCTGGGACCTTCCTTGTAATTCAGTGAACCAAGGAAACTATGACAATGATGTAATCTGACTTTTACAGCTTCCTTCAGACATATTTTTTCTACTTCCAGACTCAAGTTCTAAAACTCAAATATACAACAGTACTAGCCTGAGTTAATTTTTTCCCTATTTTTTTTTAAGAAGTACTTGGGCACCTCTCACATGGTTTCAGGGGAAAGAAGGAGGTTAGAATGATTACCAAAAACCCCCACAGGAGTCTGGCTCTGGATTTACATTAGCAGGAAGAAAATTGTTAGCTAATTATATTTTGGGGTTTTATACTTCTCAGACAAAACTTCCACATGACAAATTACAGAATTAGGCAGAACTGCTTTGTATTATTCTTTCATCTTAAGAATAATAAGACATTTCTTTAGTCAGTGTAGACTTCTACACTGCCACCAAAATCCATGGGATTATACTCCCAATGGATTTTACAGCTTGCCTCATAGCGGTTTATTATAAAACAGTGCCTTGAAACACGGAAATACATTTATGTGTACTTCCTGCATTATATTCAATAGGTTTGGTAACAAATCATACTATTACCTCCAAAAAACAGCAGTCCCTTTTGCACTCTCTAATGATGATGGAACATTCCGTAGCCCACATTTTAATAGAAAAAGCTATTAAAATTCCAGAAAATAAATATAAATCATGTTACAGTAAATTTGTTTAAGCTGTACCTTCCATGGCCACTTCCATATGTATGAATTACCACGTGTGCTTATATAAGAACATGGATGAGAGCAAAACCACAGGGATAAAGCCTCTTATTTATAATCCAGGACAGCAAATCCTCTTTGATCCAGTACCTGGGATTTTTTTCTTAACATTGCAGTGTACAAACAAGAATAATTTTCACGGTGACATTCAAACACACAAACAAGAGACCATCTGCCATGAGATGTCTCTCTTGTAATACTAGATTGCTTGTTTTATTATGAACACACAGTTAGTATACTTTTTAACTAAAGTGACAAAACTGAGATCGAGCAACAGTCAACCTGTTTATACTTATATACATGAGAAAACACATATTTTAAAACATATTTATTTATATTGTGATAAAACAACTGAAAGTCCTGAATATTAAGATGCACTTACCTTTGTATCTTTATTTCTCACTACACTAAAGGATTAAGTGACAGAATATGCAAGCCTTTTATTAGGTCTTTAGAGACCTTTAATAGCTTTGAAAGAAAATGCATTAACACTTAAATTGCTACCACTTACAATTAAGACAAAAGCAAATTTCACAGTAGACATGGACCCTTCCTAGCTCCCTATTTTATTAGAGAAAATGCTATCTACTTTTATTTCATACTTTCGGAAAGAAGATCAAACTGAGTTTCCCTAGGCAAGGTAGAGCATACATACAGAGGAGTTGAGAAAAGACTACTTACACTGGGAGTTGTTGTGTTGTAATTCCAAATCTTGATCTTGGATATACCAAAGTCATGTGACCGGGTGGGATTGCGGATAACAAAGTAAAGTTGGACAGGTGGATAGAAAGGGCACATCCAAAGGAAGCTTTCCTTCGTGATCTAAAAAACACATACAAGCAGACTGTCACTAATACTCTTTCTCCTAAAGCAGGATATTTTAATTTACTCACCACCCCACTGAAGAATATACATCAATTAGAAAAGTAACTGTTTAATAAAATCTGCTACGTTAGGAGCAAAACCTTAACCTCATTTCCAAACAGCAAATCCAACTCTCTTGCCTGTAAGACACCTCACAACAACCTAACAATTAGATAAAGGTCAGCTGCTTGCAGTCCCAGTAAGACATCTGCATGCTCACAAACGACAGGCAGTCTGCCATGCTTTGTAACTGCAGGGTCAGAGCAAGCCCAGTTTATTTTAATCAAATTAATCAGCTTTGCAGGCACTAGAGGGGATCACTGAGCACAACGGACACTGCATAATCATTTTATGATTTCTTAAAGTGCTTACACTTCTGTTTTGCCCTCCAAAGAGGGGAATCTTATAGAATTTTATTTCACTACCTCTATTTTAATCAGACTTTGCAGACAACTAATTTCACTTACAGATCTATTCCTCAGAGCTATATATAGGACTCTACCTTTGAAATTTTCTAAGATATCACAGAAACTCCCAACATTAATTTTACAGACAACTGACAATCAAGACATTTTAAAGTACCAAAGAATGCCTAATTCTGGACATTGTTCAGAACTGCTACCTCTACATGTTCAGAAATGGAGGAAAAGGATGTGTGGCAGCTCAGAAAGAAGCAAGGAGTAAAAAGTTTCAGAATCAAAATGTTGAATATTAATATACTTGATGTTGAATGTTACCTAAAAACCCAGAGATGAACGAGGACACAAAGTAAATATACAGGCAGCCAACAATTCAGTGATCTGAGATTAGCAGATAAATTAGCTCCCTTTCTATTTTCAAGGATACACAGTACATATAGTCACACAGTAGGTACACAAAGTCAGTATTTTTCCATATCCTTGCACTTTGAAGTGAGTCTTTCAGTTTTTCCTGAAGGTAGTAATTACAAAACTTTCCTATTGAGTACTTCAGATGTGTGCCTAATGATGGTAAGGACAGAGCTCTGCCAGTCTGTTCAATGATATCATGAACAGGTCCACTTCTCAGAGTGCTCATCTTCGTATTCCAAGCTCTGATGGTTCACAATGCCTCTGCCCCAGAGGCCTCTCAAAAAGCTTTCGGAGACTGTTGTTGCTTTGAATGTCAGTTTGGGGCATAAACAGTCGTAAGAGCACCAGACAGGTTTAATCCTTTCTATATAAAAAGAGGAAAGAAGCCTCTTAACATCAAAGAAATGAAGGATAGCCCTCTGAACAGTGTGAACCCAATTCCAGGATCAACTTCAAAGCTAGATCACATTACTGAAGTTGTACTGTGAACAAGAATGATTAAAAAAAATCATTTCCCAACAGCAGACATCATCTGATGAGCAATCCATCTCCAGTCTTCTCAGGTCAGGACCTGATGCCCTAGAAATCGATAGGTTCTGGTGCATACTGAGATACTGCCAGAGGTGCCTTCACAGGAGGGCACCAGATTCAGCAGCAAAATGGACTCTGGAGAGACTTGTTCCTGCTTCTCGCTAGTTTCTCTGTAAAGTTGCACATGATCTTCCAAACAACAGAAGGCATATCAGAGCCAGGCCAAGTATTGGGTCTTGAGTGAGAGGCAGCTGTAAAGATCATTTTGTTTATCAGTGGAAGTAACCGCTTAGAACAGGAGACAGAAACTCACAGGTGTTACAGTCTCCATCAGCACATCAAAGATCTGACACCAGAAGTTGGAACGCATCTTGATGAATCCATGCCAAAACTCATGAGACAGTGGAGGACTCTCATGTTTTATCACTAGGAGTGATGGTGATGTCTTTGCCTTCACATGATGTACTCGAGTCTGGAGTTACTGTCTTTGCAACTAGCACTGAAAAATCTAGCCCAAAAGTTCTTTGAATCATCAGGGTGAACCGATATGTCAGGAGTAGGAATTACATTTGAACTGGATCAAGGAAAAAAAGTGAGAGTGGGAACCTTTGGTCTTAAATTTTGTGGGAGACTGGCCTGAGACACTGCTTTATGTGGGCACTGAAGGTATACCTGATGGAAGGTAAAGGAAGGCTGAAGCACTGTGATGAGGAATGATGTGAGTCTGAGGGTTCACCATTGTGAAGAAATACATTTGTTAGATATTTCTAGAATTACAGTTACCTGTCCTTGTTATTCTGAGGTTTAAAAGATCTATATATGCATATAAGAATCAAAAAGGTTTACAGAAAACAATTTCAATGAAATGCCTAATCTACATCTTATTAAGCATTATATCCCATCAGGCACTACTTCCTTAGTTGAGAGCACCTGATGTTCTGCTAGGCATTTTTCTCTTTTACAGCATATCATGAAGTATAAGGGAGGAGGCAATTTAAGTGTTCTTAAAAGTCTGCATGGGTAATAAATAAACTAATAAATAAATAAAATCCCTGATCTTCAATAAGACTATGTCTATTCTCAAAGACAAATGTACACCTAAATGATCAAAGATGGAAGTGATTTAACCATGGTAAAGTGAGTTTTCCACAAAGTAAGTTTTCATGTTACATTTTCATTCTGTTGAAAATATTAGTTGCTTGGAGATTCATTAATTTGCTGCTTTTTATTATGCACCCAAAAGCTTTCTGTATGATCTGAAATGTACACAAACTGGAAATGCTGCTTTGACTTCTGAAGGAGTCTGCAGTTCAGTTATCAGATATCCACATTCTAAGACCATATTCCCTGTCCAGATTGCCTTTTCTCTGATGCAATACCTTTCCAGCTTCAAGACAGGAGATTACAGTGTCACAAATCAAAGGAATATATTAATCAATGAAATATAAAACTTCATTACTTAAGAATAATGGGATATATAAATATATGAGAAATGCTGAGAATAACAGGTTTATAATGGCTTAATGAATATATTACTACATAATTTATAATAATCTAGAAATAATTTATAATTATCTAGAAAGTCTGAGAGTCACTACTACTACTACTGAGTGTCATCTGCCAGAGAGCACAGCCTATAAAGGAGAATGGGTATTTATGACACCCAAACTACAATTTTCAAGAGAGTATAAGAAAGATGTTTCAAGTAAAAATATTTGTCTGGAAATAATACTCCATACTGAGTTACAACTAAATTTCAAAATACGGTATATTTGCCCACTTTCTATTCTCATTCACCCTGCTAACTGAAAAGTATCTCCAGCACAAAATGAGTTACAATTTATATTTTTTAATAGACTAAGTCATTTGGTAGCCTCATCCACTAAAATCATACTAATTTTTACTAGAACCCTAGCTCTAAAGGCCCATGGAGACAAAGGACACACAGTGAATGTACAGCACAAATGAAATTATGGCTATATGAAGGGCTATAGACTTTTGCTAAGCTCTTCAGCAGCATCAGAATTTCATACCAGTTATTGTCTTTTGTCCATATTCTTTAGTATGCAAGCACCTTATGTCTCCTCATCTTACTATCTCACAGAAGAGCCATGAAATACTTTTACCACGCCACACATTCTTTTTAATCTCTTGTTCGAAACTACCTACCTACGCATTCTTATTCTTCCATGATTCTTCCCTAGATAAAAGAATAACAAGGGGACGGGAGAAAATAAGTGTGTTTCCTTCTTAAGTTTACTTAAATTAATATTAAACATCTGGAAGAAGTTAGCAGTGAAGCTCCTATACCTTCAGATCACAAGAATTACTTAAGTTTATCGGCAGACATATGTAAAAATTTGAAATTCCCTGTCCTTAGAGTTTTGTGATGTCATTCTACAGATACTATGATTACACTACAATACTTTAACAACTGAATGTGTTCTTTCATCCAAGACAATACCACAGAGTTGACATACAAGTAGGCAGAGTTAAAGCTGCCTCCTTCCAGTTGCTCAGTTAAGTAAGTCAGGCAAATTAATCAAATTCTGCTCTAAAGCAAAATTATAACTGAATACCAACATCTTGGACAGAAAAGCTGGATTTGTTAGTAATAAGCAATATCTGTATTCTTTTAAATTATCAGATAGTTGTTATGCTAGTCAGGTTCCAAATGCAATCATGTTTTTAAACAAAAAACCTAGTAACAGAATATTAAAGAAATATTATAATGAGAAATTTTCACATCCAGGACTAAGCTGTCTTACATTTAAGTTCTTATTGACCAAGCAGCACAAATCCCCTGGGTTGTCAGCATTTCGAATGTCCACATCATGAGGAGACACAATTATCTTTTTGTTGGACAAATCAAAGAATTCCACCTCACTCAGGCCCACATTTACTGGATTTCCCCAGTTAGAAAGAAGTTCCATAGTCACATAAATGGCATCATGTACTTCCATACTGGTTGTCACCTGGATCAAAATGAAATATGGTATAAACATAAGTGACAAAACAATATAATGTGGAACACAATAAAGACTGTTAAGACTGCAGTACTGACGAGTCAGAAGCAAAAAGCTTGCAAACTCAAGGCTATCTGGATGACATTCAATCATTCTGGGTTCCACCAATTCTGCCCCACATCAACTAACAAACCTATGGCAGGGTAAGAGAAGAGAACATATCACCCTCTTACAAAGCCTAAAGAGAAAACAGGTCTCTGTTCTTTGTCTGATTCCTTTGTCATTCTGATGAACAAAGGAACGGTGATAAATTCTCTTCTCTTACCCTGCCATAGTTTTATTAGTTGATGTGGGGCAGAATTGGTGGAATACAGATCATTCGATATACTTTTGTTTCAATAATACTGGGAAGCATCAGTTCTGGTGCATATGTACACAAACCTTCTCTCTCAACATGGAATCTACTTCAGGTTTGTCATCAGACAGGGATATCTCATTATCACAGGCAGAAGGGCTCTCAGGCTCTGGAAGGACTTTCAGAAGTTTCTTCTGTTGTCTGAAACATACATATTCTTTTATGTGTTACTTCCTCATAATTCTTGTATTTTTAAGAAATAGTTTAGTTGGTACAAAGGGGAAGAGATGAGAGGATGAACCCACACACCCCACGGAAGAATCCCTTGTACCCCTACACTGAATAACAACTGTTGCAGCATCCCACCTTTGATTAAAAGACTGGGCTCCAGTTCTCAGCTGGGTGTGAGGCAGTTTGCAAAAGTAATACATAGGTAATATAAAGACAAACAGAGGGAGATGTTGGCAGTTCCCTGATCCACAGAGACTAGGCCAAGGCTGCAATCTTCTCCTTGATTTGCTACTACTTGCATGATGTCTCAGATATCTAAAGATTATCAGGTGTAGTGGTACTACACTACACCTGGTGGTATACTGAAAAATATCTCTTCAAAAAAGGAAGCTAGCCTTAAAGGAAATAGATATACCTGCTTCCAGAAGGACAAATTCTCTCAACACTTTTTGTGACTGCAGTCCTTGTCTGGCTTTTTTCTGGAGGTTCAGCCATTGCAGAAACAACAGATGAAACAGAAAATTTCTTCTAAGTAAGAAAAAGATGAACATGTTTCATTCACATTGCTCTCCATGTACCAATGAGTATCAGTCTGCATCTCTGGAATAAGTAAGAGTTTGGGCCCAGCTCCGGTCTCAGCTCACCTCAGCTAACCTGTAACTCTATACTGAGTTAAAGCACATCTAACAGAATTGGTCTGGATTTGCAATGAAAAAGCTGAACTTGAAACTTGATATTCTATGTGGAAGAAAAGTAATGTAAAAGCATTCTCTGATGATTATTAAAAATATATATATATGTCTGAAATCTCATTGTATACATTTGGTAGGACTCAGAGTTGGCCAAAGCTTTGGCAGAGGTCTGCCTAGACTTTCTCCTTCTCCAAAAAAGGATCATAAAGACTTTTAAACCCCCAAAAGCTCAGTTTTATTAGAATAAAATCTTGATTTATTTTTTTAAATATAGAACTATCAGTAGTGACTAAGAGAAAACAGAAGAAAAGTCCTCTAGTTCCTACAATGCTCTGGGCTCCTTCTCTGCCTGTACCCCACTTTGTAAGTATACCCTGCTCCCTTTGTTATTTTTCCTAAAAATTTGGGTAGCTTCTGTCACAAGACAGAATACTCAGCACAGTGAACAACCAGTCAGATGAGGAATGGCTGTCCTTCTGTTCTTAGGTCACTTCCATTTCTATTATTTTTGAAGAGTAAGAGAACTTTGAAATGCTTAGAAGTTAATTACTTTTTTACAATTAAAAATTCTGCATTGTTATACATTTAAATATCAAAGGCCAAGTTCCAGAATCCCTTAATTGTGTAAGCAAAATTAAATTACTGCTGGAAGATCATTAGGTCAGCTTTAAGACTGAGAACTCACCGTGGGGTTTTGAAACTCCATCTCAAGTGTCAGGGTAAAATTACATCTATTTTAAGTATTATTTCATTATTTTTCATTTAAGCACAATATTAAAATCAGTCCTAAAGTTAGCAGGAAGACACTTTATGTAAGAATTTTCAAAGGAATTTGTTCTCTCAACCACTAAGCTATAAATATCTCAAAACCAAGAGGAATAAGATTGAAAAGTTGACCCAGATGGTGAAATCATATGCAAAGTACTTACCTATAGTAAAGGAACATTTTCACCTTTGCTCCTAACCAAAACTCCCCATAAGCCTAATGTTGGCTCAGTGATGACAGTGGATATATATTCATCATAGCACCAACTCACAACTTCAGGCAGCATCAGCTTAGGTTAGTCAGCTGTCTTGGAAGCTCTCAGAACTCAAATGAGTAACTCCAAGAATGTCTAGGCATATCTCTTTTCCTTCAAGAAAAATAAGCCTCCTAAACACCAAACTGGAAGCAGACTTTGAATCCATGAACACTGTCCAAAACAGATAGTTTCATAAATTCAGTTTATGCTCAAATTTCTTTATATACTTTCTTTCTGTTAGGAGAACCCAATTATTGGCTATGCTCAAAGTTTAGCTAGGATTGCCAACACAAACCTCCTTATTCTTTAACTTAATGAGGAACAATGGTCTGATCTGAATCAGAAGGGAATGGATTTTTGTTGATTTCTTTGTTTATGAGTTTTTAAACATGGTTGCTGGAGATAAGAGATGAACACATGTTGGTGCAGAAAACCCATACTAGCTCCTCACTAAGAGCTAGCAGTGTACGTGACAGCTCTGCTCCAAAAGGAGAGCATGTATTAAAACAGGGAACAGTGCCCATATTAATAAGTCCAGTAGAAAGGTAGGATTTATTAGTATGGAAATCACACATTATATTGCTTAAGAAGCTTCCAGAATGAAAATGGCTCAACCGGGCCTGCAGCTGTGCATTTGACTGTATCATGTGACTGGTCTATCAGTTGCTCAGTGATCCCTGAAATCAGGAGAGAGCTGTGGGATGCTATCCTGAGGAAAGAGATTAACAAAAAACACCTTATGGAAGAATAATACAAATTCAGTTACACTTACAAGGCATCACTATTCATTCATACACAATCTTAATGTGTAAGACATTGTAATTCATGGGTATTTTGCTAGTTGATCAAACAGCTCTCTTCTGTATTTTGCCATACCTTTTGAGGGCTTGTGGAAACTGTCTGCCTTTGCAGGTCTCTCTGCAAGACTTCATTTTCAATTTGCATTGCTTTAACCACAGCTGAAACTGAGAGATCAGGATCTCTCTCACACACATTCTTTCGAGTTGCTGAAAGTGGTCTTTCTGGTCGACTTAATGGTCCTGCCACCAAAAGAAGGAAGGAATATTCATTTGTCTGGACATACAACTATGGAACATTACAACAGCATATGTCTGAAACACCTGATTCAGTTACTGACACAGGGCTTTGCTAGCAGTCTGTTACCATCCCAAGCAAGGCTGAATTGCTCGTTTGTTTTTATATTAAGATTCCGGGTCACATCTACTTTAAACAGCTGAAACAGTATCATAAGAGGAGGAAAACGGACAAATGAGAAACATAGTTTTTATGCTTTAAGATTTTTTGTACTTGCTTTGTTCCAGTATTTAATGGAAATGCCTTGTAACAGTTCATTGAAAAATAAGTATATATAATTTCAACACACCAGAATTTTTCAGTGTAACTGGGGTGCTCAGCTATTTTGGAGGAATCCCCAGAGTCTTCTAGCAAAAGAAAGGGAGTCAGGAATTGCTATTTGCAACATAAAATAAATGACCTTATCATTTAAGTAGTTAGTCATCAAAATGCCCATATGCATCCCAGTCTTCCCAAACATCATGGAGAAATAGGAACGTCACAGCCTATAAACAGGCTTAAAAGAAAGGCAGTAAAATTTAACAATAGAGGATCTGAGATTGGACTAAAAGAGAAGCACAGTGGTTATATTCAAGGACTTAAAAAGTCAAGGGAAGAAAAGAGACTGAAGTTGTACAGACATTTAGATCAAGTGAAAATATCGAAGAACAGGTTGATATGCAAGAGTGCTCATAATGCTGCAGTAAGGTTTACTAAGCAGGAGAGTAAAATGGCAGTGGATGCTAGGAACATGAAGTCTACCTTGAAAAGACAGGAAGTTAAAACTGAACTGAGATTTGTGTGCATTCACACTCTTTAAGCCCTATGCCATCTACACTCATAAAAACTTTCAACAAGCATTAGTCATCTCTGCAAATACAGGGACAGAATAAAATCCTTTTTATTTTTCTGTACTATACCATCCCCCTGAAGTGAAATTAATTTAAGGATTTAAAGTGATAGTTGGACAGAAACAGTTCTAACAAGCACTATTATAACCTGAGAAAATGCTACGCACATCTTTGGAAAGCGGTCAAAGCAAGCATCTGCTCAGACAGATGGTGGGTGAGGGTCTCAGAAGCTACAAAGAGGATTTATTCTGAAGCCAAAAAGAATTAGCTTCTTTCCCTCAATTTAGTTTTCTGCCAATTAAGAAACTAATATTTTGACTTTTCAAAACTTTTAGCTTTGCTGCTTTCTTGGGACATATCTGGATTTTGCTTTTTTGAAAAGGGTGTCTTAACCACAGAGTATGGTAAATCTGAAAACTTTATCTCAGACCTTTCAAAACTCAAGTTCATCAGACTCATTCAATTAAGGACTGTGCTGAAATAACATGATTTCAGCCCCTAGACTTGGGGGTTGTTTTGTTGTGGATTTTTTTTAGCCCAGGTAAAGACCACACCTTAGCAGCAGATTTCTAGAATAAGCAGCAGTGCCTTCAAAATGGTGTTCTCCAGTCCAGGAGAAACATCTTTCAGTATGGTACTAGATACTGGCCTATCTACCCAGCACTGGAGACTGATCTGCAGCATTCATTGTGTAAATCAAGTACAGTCCCAAGCAGCTGTGCTGTGGAAAACTATGCTTTTATTCCTATAAATGCATTGTGTTAAAATCTTCCACCAAAGTGCCAATTGCTGATTTTGAGAAGACACACTTCTGTTAATACCATAGGGAACAGATCTCCATGAGGAAAGGGGGAAACAGAGCAAGCCCAAGGACTGGAAGGGAGAGGAAAGTCTTATGCTGTGGAAGCAAAAAGAGAAGGAAGGTAGTAAAGATGTAACAGAAGACTAACGTATACAGGCTCTGGACTTTCTCACAATTTTACTTAGTCAAAACACTTGAGGTGATAAAAACAACAACAAAAAACCTGAAGAAAACCCCACCAAAAAAAAAAAAAGAGGACAACAGCTAAGAAAAAAAAAAAAAATCACATAATGACAGATGTGTGCTGAAATTACATCTGAGCCAGACAGGGGAAAAGCATGAAAACTCTCCTTATTGACATTGTATATTCTTATTTCTTACTAGAACAAATTCTTTCATGTCTTTCCTGGTGCAAGAACTCAGCAGAGAGTGGCCGAGTGATTTTATTTTTTACCACAATTGGTCTGATAGGAATGTACATTTCAGCATTATCTTTTCTTTTTGCCGAGAGAACTCGTAGCGGCTTCACTTCTGCAAGATAATAAGGGAACAGAAATAATCAACTTCAGAGATATTTAGAAGCAGCCAGCCAGGGAAAACTTATTGGATCTTAACTGCTAAAATTTTGCCACTTTAATTATGCTGGCATAGTTAAAATGATAACCTCCATCCTTCCTCCCTTTCATTGATACTGTTCTATTGATGTAGAAGCACATATGTATGGCTCACACTGACTTAGTGAAACAAAATAAAAGTATATCATTATAAGGTACCAATATATCTCATCAGTACCAGATATTTATCTACACTACACTTATTAACACAGTTATACCAAAATAAATTCTTAAAATACAGACTAAAATGTTGTCTTATTTACAAGTTTCAAAGAGGGAGAAGGTTGCCTAGCATAGTTTATAAGAGTACTTCTTCACTTTTTTATGTGAGAATTATTAATGCCTCCATTGTTTGCATCACAGCTTTGAAATCTCTCTTTGGAAAAAATAAATCAGGTACTCTCCCAAGCATCTTGTTCTCACTGCTGCTCCACCCTTTGTTCCCATCTTTTCTTCTGCCATCTCTCCACATTCACACTCCACTCAACCTCTGTGATAATGAGAGGAATACTCCTTTGCTCAATTTACTCAAAGATTGTTCCTTTTAAGTTAAGCAATTAACTATGGATAAGGAAACAAAAAAAAGAAACAAAACCAAAAAAAACCAAACAAACAAACAAAACCCCAAAACCAATGAATGTATCTGAAATGAGTGGGGAGGGAATTTTGAGAAATACTGAACGTAGGTCAAAGTCTGGCTTCTGCCTGAACTCTCTACCTTTAACAAGCTAAACATCTTTGAGACCTAGTGACTGGTTTTGGGTTTGGACACCGAGGTCTCCAAAGAAGACAACCTGACAAAAAGAAGGGGCTCAAAGCCAGATAGATTTGCTTTCTTGAATTAATATATCTTTCATCAGGGATGAATAGCACATGCTATGACAAGTATCCAGCCCCCAGGATGTGAAATGGAGGAAGTTGAGACTGGGAAGATTTAGCTGCCTGGATTACTGCAAAAACAGTTCAAAAATATATTAAAATAATAATAATCTCTTGAGAAATCTCACAGACAGTCTGAAACAATCTTAGTTCAAGTGTCTAGGCCTGGTGATGCAAGTGCGTTAACCAGGGCTATATCTTTGTCTTTGCAAAAGATTTCTTAATGTAGTAGTAAGAGGATGCAAGTCTCCCAAATCAGGAGATTAAAACAACAGGTTTGCTGAAGAGCATGAAAAATCCTGAGAGTATGGAGTAACCATTAATGATTAACCAGCAGTGACTCCTTTAAAAGTAATGCTTTCAAAGAATTATTATTATTATAGTAGTGTAGTAGTGTATAATACACAGAGACTTACTACTTTGATCCTGGTTGAACTCCAACACAGTAAAGGCACCAGAATCAAGGCCAGAGCATCTCCCAGCATCCTGATGTTCAGAAGCTTCTTTCTGCAGTGATCTACCACTATGCAACTGAAGGGCTCCAAGGCTTGTAATTGTTTCCTCAGTGGGAGATGGTTCTGAAAACACATCCTCTTCAACAGAGTCATAATCATCACTAAGAGAGTCTTCTTCCATCCTTTTGTCTTCTATACTGAGTTGCAAGCTTCTTTTCAACGTCTGGTACAATTCAAACAGATTTGTCAGAAAAGCTCAAACATGTATTTTAAAATAAACCAATGTGGCTGCCTCTTCCTCCCCTAGGAGAAAGAAAAATCTTCTCATGAACTCAGAGCCATGATGTAGCTAAAAATATTCACATTCCTATGTCGCGTCTTCACTCCTCTGATGAGGACTTGGAAAGAAAAATCATCCTACAATTCCTGTCCTTCTTATCAGAATCCTTGCAGAAAAATTCTGTAGGCTAAGGAATTTTATGTGTTACAAACAGGAGGTAAGCAATGAAGAGGGCAAGGGCATATTTTTTTCCAGTCTCACACAGTTAGATTACTGTATCTTTTGGTTTGCTATTTGAAGACTAGCTGCAATCCAGATTTTCCAAATGCCTTCATAAGACTGCAAAGCTAATGTAATAGCAATTTCTTTATAAGCAATTGGATAGATAATAGTGCTGTCTTGTACATATCTGTACTTCAAAAAACAGTAGAAAGGAGTTGTGGTCTAATGGACTAAGCTTCCAGTTCACACAGATTTTAAGTGGACAACCCATAGCAGGATTTTATGCAAAAATTAATCTATTTTGAAACTTACTGTGGAAAGAACTGCCCTGCCTCTCTCAGCATATGCCAGAAAGAGCATAGATGATGCTGCAGAGCCTTGTGTTTTTATGAATGCAAAAGGAAAAAACATGCATATCTTAAATACTTTTTTTTCCTAGTTTGTTGGTATTAGAGTTTTGAGATAAGTATAGGTAAGCAAATTGTATGAGCAAAATGAAAACCTGAAGCTATCTTAGGTACAAATGAACTGTGGCAGTGTATGTTCAGTTTGCAATGAAAGCTTCAAGCTGCTCTTCTGCTACAGATTACACTTGTTAGGAAATCCATGTTGACAGAAACATATTACAAAGAGCAGGCAAACTTAAGTTCAAAGAGGGTCTATAAGCAACCTGAGGCTTGATATTGAGCGTGCCTTTATGACAGTCAAGACTAATATTTCTAGTTATTTGACAGGGAATTGTACAGGCTTTCTTTTAGTTTGAAACTTCATGACACCTGCATTGTAACAAGACATTCAAGAAAATACATTATAGCTTCAGGAAAACCAAAAGCATTTCCATCTGGAATACAAAGAAAAGTGGGATTTTGGTTTAAAATTATTAGCTTACTACTTACACATAAATGATTATAAACATCCGTCACTGTAAACAAGTTACTGATTTGTAGAGCAAAAAAATCATAAGCTCAAAAGCAATCTAGGAAAGGTAGGAAGATGCAAGCTAGGAAAACATGCTTGGGAAGTTTGTCTGATGTCAGTGGTAAGATCTGTAGACAGTTTCATATATAGATGCTACTCCACGACCCAGAAAAACTTTATTGATGTAATTAATTGGTTAGGCAGAAAAACATTCATAAATTTTTGTTCATTTATTCTTTTTTTTTTAAGAACAGGATATTTGTGAAGTGTGCTAGAACAAACTGCAATTAGTAACCAAATGGAAGGCTGAACTGTCAAACAACAGAATCAATACAATAGCAACCCTTGATGGAAAGCAACTGTATTGATTATAATATTTTTAAAACTTTACTCTGACTTGTTAGATAAAACAATGACATGCCACAATTTTAGCACAATTATTCAAAAACTAACCTAAACCCAGAAAAAGTGGTTGTTTAAACTTTCTCTAACCTGACAGCCAAGAGTGACATTCATGTGGACAACCATTAGTGAACTGAAATAGTCTCCCTGCCTGAAACACCTTGGCTCTATCCAACAGAGACAATATTCTACCTCTTTAAATTAGGACTTAACATGTTACAGCATTGCTGACTGAGATTAGATTTTCAAAGTAGTTTTACTTTTTCTTTTCATTTTTTCCTTCTTTCTGTCACATATCATCAATGCGAAATCACCTACTGAAAGAAATACTATATACTGGGTTTGCATGCTCTACTCAAGACTGATACCTGGGCCCATTCACATTTCAATTGACACTACCATGAACAATAGAAGGCAACTGCCAATTGTACCTGGGAGTAACAGAGAGGATCATCACCATTTGTCTCCACACTCAAGCTTTCATAAGGTTCAAAATCCTCAGAGTACTCAAGAGGAGGTTTAATGCAGAGTTTAGCCCCCCTTTCTGTTTTAATCTTCACAGTTTTCTGTTAAAAGAAGTATTCAGAGAAATTAGACATCTTTTGTGCTATCAGCAGTACAAAAAGAATAATCATCACATTTACATAACAATATCTAGATCAAGTAACACTTTTACTCTCTGTTCTATAGGTTTCTGTCCTCCCTGAGCTCACCTTTGGGCCCCTGCATTATGGTTTAATTGCCCTAGTCAAACTCCCCACCTGCTGCTGCTATCCCCAGAGTGGGTCAGGCCCAGCACACGTTATGTGTTTGCCACCAAAGTGAGTGCCCACTGGGGTTCACCCCCTCACCTTACCAGGTAAGTGAAAAAACAATAGGTGTAGGGACATAGCAATCAACAAAATAGCTGAAGTGGAATCACTTAAAGCACAGGTATGTGAAGAAGTGCTGGCAGAACAACCTTGTGGAGAAAGCTCTCGAGCCTCTTCTGGGGAATCAGCATGCTTGGCTGCCTCTCTGAAATGCATCTACACTAATGGAGAACAAACACATGGGGAACAAACAGGAGGAGTTAGAAACTTGTATCCAGTTACAGGGCTATGACTCACTGGGATCATAGAGATATGATGGGATGCTGCGATGGATGGATACAGGCATAGGCTCTTTAAGAAAGATAGGCTGAGAAAGTGAGAAGGAATTGTCATCCTTTATGTGAGAGAGAGCTGGAATGTATGGAGCTCTGCAAGGAACAGGTCAGGAGCCAATCAAGAACTTCTGAGTCAAGACTAGCAGGCAGACCAGCATGGATGCTGTTATAGTGAGTATCTTCTATAGACCTCCTGATCAGGAAGAAGTAGATGAGGCCTTCCTCAAAAAAATGGAAGAATCCGCAAGTTCAAAGACCCTTGTCCTCATGGGGCGCTTTATCAAACCTGGTATCTGCTGGAAAGACAACACATCAGGGCTCAAGCAATCTAGGAAATTTATAGATTGCACATGGGATTGAGGAGTGAACAAGCAAAGGTGCTCTGCTGGAGATGCTGAGAGAGCTGGGACTCTTCAGCCTGGGGATGTCATCAATGTGTATAAATACCTGACAGGTATCTGCTCATTGACAGGACAAGAGGCAATGAACACAAATTAAAGAAATCATGAAATTCCATCCAAACAGAAGAAAAAAATTACTGTGAGGGTGATCAAACACTGGAACAGGTTTCCTGGAGAGGTTGAGGAATCTCCATCTGTAGCATATTCTAAACCTGACTGGACGCGGTCCTGGGCAACCTGCTCTAGCTGACCCTGCTTGAGCACAGGGATTGGACTAGGTGATCTCAAGTGTTCCCTTTCAACCACAATAATTCTGTGACTCTGTGACATCTATGTATGAAAATGACTACTTGAAGTAACAGCAATTTTTTGAAGATGTATTACTTTTGTGTATAGTATAATGAGAGGGAAATGTTATGCCATAAGCATTCAAGCACAAAGATTTCTTTGCCTTTGTAAATGTCAGACATGGCTGTGAAAGTGGTTCAAACCAATTTGTTTTGCTTCGTAACTAGGATGCCATCAAAGCATGCACTCTGTCAGTTACTCAAGCATGGTTAAAGAGAGGCAGAAGATTTGAGAAACTCATCTTTCCATACCACAAAATTTCAGTACTCCAAAAGATGACAAAAGAGAAAGCAGGAAGTGCATATACCTCTCTCAAGGAACAAAGTTATCTGTAAGTAACTTTTTCTCCCCACTTTGGAACTCTGGTGCAGACATATTCCATAGGGGGAAGTCTCATAAGTGGATGATGGAAAGAGCACTGTTTCATTAAAGGTAACGTGATCCAGAAATCTGTGCAATGATATTAAACTTAGTTACCTGGTGTTCATACACTCCTCTACCATTTTGTAAGTGCCAGGAGCAGAGATGTCCCAGAGAGAATATCCTAAGGCAACCCGGCTTTTGACAGAATGTGTTCTTTCAGTAAGTCTATCTTCCCACCTCACAGCACACCTTAGGACAGCCTAAGTTTGACAGTTTTGAACATGAATTGCTAGGTCCTCTAGCTATCCAGAAAACCCACAGGGAAAATTACTGGGAAAGTAAACTGCTGTGTGGCACAACCTGCATCTTACTCAATGGTTGCACATTTCCTTAGCTAAACAATTCCAGTTGTTCATTAAGATACTATAAATCTGCTATCCTTCCATCCAATTGGATAAAAGATTTAAGGTATCATTCTAAGCTAGTCTCAAATAGTAGCTAGTTTTTAGTATAGCTACCTATATTTGGCTAACTTTCCAGTCCAGTCAGAGGAGATACCTCCTTCTTCATTTGGCTCTTGTGATTAGAATGACATAGGTTATGACTAGCCACACATTTGGCAAATTTAGCAATCAAGTTCTGACAGGCCAGTATGTAAGCAATGATCTACTGAGAAATAGCAGCTGAAAAAATGAATTCAGCTAAGCAGTAAGGGTGATAAATAAAGTAATGCAGCCTTAAAACTTGAATGTGCAATATTTGCTGAAAGAAAGGAAAACCTGCATGACATGAATGCTTGATCCACAGTGACACAGATCCCTGACACCCTATCACTCAAGCACAGACTGGACATCCAGCCAGGGCAATTGGCTAATCACGTAGGGTAATTATTTGGGTGACATGTCTCAGTTGTTCAGAATTCACATTTGTTCTGTTAATTAACTCATACTCCTTGACAGGTTAAGTCAAATCCTTCTTTAGGCCAAAAGAAAAAATTACCATTAAGGTTTCTTCAGTGAACCAACAACTATGTAGCTAATGGCTCCAAATTTCATATAGGCAGGGTATTTTTATTATCTATATGCATTTTTCTCTCTTCTGATCTACAAGAATCTGTCACAAATTACAACTCAAGCTATGCAAATTACACCTCTGTGTCCCTTAATACTATTGCAGGGTGGATAACAGCAGTGACAGGCAGGGATGTATGTCCAAAATGAGATTCTCCATCCTTTGCACTAGATAAGCTCTCTAGTCTTGCCATCAGAGATGTCAAGCAACAGCTATTCTGCTGGAGGACAGATTGAGCCAATCATGTCTATACTACAAAAGTTTCTGTGATGGATGTCACTGAAACCAGACCCTTTCAATGAAATTTTCCTCTTTAGGCTTCAAAGTAGATACAAAACTGGTCAGGGTATCATTTCACATTGTCACTCAGAATCAAGACCAAACCAAGACAGATTCTATGAGAGTCCCAACTGCCCACTATCTACTAGTTGCAACCAATTTCCCCTAAAATTATTCATGATCTAAGAATTGGTTCAAAGATGCATTCTTTCAAACCGTTTCTTACCTGAAGCCAACCTCTGCGGTGTATTTTGCTCGGTGCAGTCTGCGTGCTGCGTCCTCGCAACTCACTCTCTTCTAGCTGGGCTACTTTTTCAGAACACAGAGACAAGAATTAGAAGACAGAAAATAGAAATATGGTATTTGACAATATACACCTTGGTTTGAGTTGGGTTTTTTTCCCAGATGAGGACAGAAGAGTAAGTCTTTGACATGTGAATGGTAGCAACAACTGAAAAGGCATTCTGCTTCAGATACTGGCTAGTTGTGTATTAGTAGCAGGAGTTTTGAACCTCTTCAGGGACAGCCATCCTCATCTGCATTCAAGAGCATACATTGTTTAAAGATACATTAGCTTAATAGCAAGTGAAGCCCCACATTCATTGATACGAAAGCACAGAAATATATTCTAGAATAGAGGTACACATCATTCTGACTCCTAGCTAGGCAGACAGTAAGCTGTCTTAGGAAGCCAACTAAGCCCAGAACCCATACTACTGAAGGCAGACTCTGATAGGCAGGGTCCTGGTGAACAACAAGTGATATGCTGGGCTTACAAAGGAATTGTGTGTATTTACTCTCAAACTAAGGAAACACAAGGTACTGGCAGATTAAACAGAATGTACTAGGTATTTAACATACTGTGCAGAGAAGGATTCTTCATGTACAAGTCATAAATGAAGGACAAACAATCATTTTCCTTCATTTCCAAGGCAAGGAAGAGTTGGTTCCAGAACTTCTGCAATAATTCTGTGTATGGTCAAGGAGAACTAAGGGTTCCTGTGCTGGAAATGGTCCCAACTTACAGTGGAACAATGGATTTTTGAGAAGATGCTTTGACTGAGACAAAGAGACAAACATCTTACAGGACACATCAGCATCCTCAATGGAGCAAGGACATCACCAACACTCTCAATAGCATCCTAAATAAAGGCATCTTATTTCCTATGTCCAAGACAGATTTACAGCTTCCATTTCTTCTCAGTGGAGAAAAATAGCTGATGCAAAACCTTTTTTCTTTAAGCCATAATTTAATGGTCACCCTAAGCCAGCAGAAACTGGCACTACCAATAAAAGAAGCAGTCATCCTACAAAGGTCATAGAATCACAGAAAGATTTAGTTTGGAAGGAACCTCTGGAGATCACCTAGTCCAACTTTCCATTCAAAGCAGGGCTTACTTCAAAATTAGATTGGGTTGCTCATTACAACTCTCAATACCACATTTTCTTTTTTGGGTTGGACAACCCTGCATGCACCTGTGCAGTGAACTGTTCAAAGAATTGATATGGGCAAGTTTTAATGGAGGAAAAACATAAAAGAAAGATTACATTTAATTGAAGTCACTTGTGTAATCTGGTTCACCATGAGATTGCACAAATGCTGGTACAAGCAGATTGGAGACAACAGGCACAGGGTAGGACCATTCTTGGGGGAACAGTGTATGCTTATGTCAATTTAGAGTGATCATAAAATTACAGAGCAAGAAGAACAAGATGTTGTTCTATTGCTTAAGCACAAAGAATCTGTCTCTTAGGCCTGAAACAGGACTAAGAACAGAGGGGAAAAGGAATGGACTGCTCCAAGTCCGAAAAACAGCCCTTCGAACTAGAGCTCCTGCTACTCCATTAGGCTATTCCTAAGTAACTCCAGAAATACTTTGCAGTCATTAGCCATTGGTCCTGATTGTAATGGGGCTCTTCTGGCACTGAGGGTGAACTGTCCTGAGATTACAATGCTAGAAGCATGGTCTGATTCAGTCACTGCATTGGGACAGAATTAGAACCATCTTTCACTTTCACTTCCTAAGCAATTCATCTCTTCTAAGCAACTGCCCAGAAGGCCACTCATGTATGCTCCAAATGTAAGTAGGAAAAGGGGACAGGGTAGGACTCATTCTACCACTACTGAGTATTTGCTTCTCAGAATTGTTTGAGTATTTTGTGAGGGATTGTGACTAGGTCTCTCTAAACCAGGAAAAACAGTAGTTCAAATCCCAGGCAAAAGCTGATGCAGCTGAGCTAGTCATCTGTGCTACAAACCTTACTTTAGAACAAAAATATCCTTCTCATGGGATGGATGGGATGTGAATACCAACCACTGCCTGTTTCGTCACACAAAATAGGTCCACTGCTGTCACTCCCTTGGAGGCCTGAGCTGACAGTGCCTATTCTAGTAGCCAAGAACCAAGTAGTACATCATCAAAATACTAGTCATAATCAAATGAGACCCCATGAGACCCTTAAGGCACATCTTTGTGACCACACCGACATTCACTGGAAGTACATACATGGTTGTGAACTATGTCTGGGTTATACACCCAAAGAAATGACAGCATACCTAGAGACCACCTTCACTACCTTATAAGCCCATCATTTACTTTAATTCATTTACCAAGCCTAAGCGTAAGAAGTTTATCAATCACTATTATCATGAATTACTCCTAGGGAACACAGACAGAGAAAATAGTCCAGACAAATAGATTTATGATGACATTTTCAGGAACAACAAAGACGGATTTGTGTCCATTCTGTGTTATTAAGTATCACACATTCCTAATTTTTCAGTGAAGACTAGTCCTATAGATGGATGCTTTAGAAGTAATAAATGATGTGATAACTCTCATGGGAGATGGATAGGGAAGAAAATTCAGTGCTGTATCTCAGCTAGAAATCATTTCTGTAAGTAAAATCATATTCAATCATTGAGAAGAAATGCCTAGAAATTAAACAGACCACAAAATTGCTAAGGTACTACCCCCAGGCAAGAAGCTTATACAGATCACCAATGACTCCCACTCTGGACTCTAGTGGCAAAATCAAATGGAAGAAGAAAAACGACAGGATGATTATTGAGTTGATATCTTTCACTGCAGCTACACGTGTTTAAAATAACAACATCGGATAGCTAAGGAACAGCAAAACACTGAGTTCTCTTCTGCAGAGATAATGCTACTGTCTCCAAGCTGATGGAGTTGAGGAAAGGAACAGAGACTCCCTATGAAGTCTTTAAAGATCCCTATAGACAAGCTGAAGTATTTTACCTTAACTGAATTAAATGGCATTAAGCAACCATAAAACCAAACAACTTTGGTTAAGCTTAGATACAACAGCTGCACAGCAGAACTTTAAGAGGAAATTTCTCTTGACAGAGTTCTATTACAGCTGCTGCCACAATATCCCTGCATAATTTTTGGACCAAAAACTCAAAGATGTTGGTTTACACCCTCTTTAGCTACCTAAAGGTATATCATCCCAGTGTGACAGAGCACACAATTTCCTTTGTTTTCCAATATCCAAGAACATGGACTTTTTTGCATCATTACACACAAGTTTTTACTTTCATATAGAATAGTGAAACTAGGTGACTAGTTGATTCCCCATCACCATCCTGTATAACCTGCAAGAAATTATATAGCAGACAGCTAAGCCTGAACACACTAAACTTGAAAACAAATAGTATGTACCCAGTATAGCGGGAAAACAAAGGAAAAAAGAGATTGAGGTTAGAGTCATAGTTAGAACAGTTACTGAAAGAAAAGTTAGTTTCTAGTATTGTTGAGATTAATAAACTTTCAATCATAATAAATTATCATATTAAGTAACTTTTTAAACTCTTTGTCTTCATTTTTAGGTGAAAATAAATCTTAAGCAGACACTACCTACACAGCAACAGATTAAAAAAATACACTCTGAGATAGACAGGTTCTAGCAAGCGTGAGGATAACAGACTAAGGTTGGTAAACTGCTTTATACAGGGATTTAGTGAAATCAACTTTATTTCCATTATGCTAAATAGATTAGAAGGCCAGTAAGCTCACACTTTATACCTTCATATATGCAAAATTATTCCTGTCACTACATTGCTCTCCATGACAGACAGGCTTAAATTAGAAACAAAATACACATTTTTAAATAAAGCCAGCTAATCACTGGCAGAAAATGGTAGATTTTCTTTACTTCAAATATTTAAATAAAGATTAACTGTCTTTTTAAGACTACTACTATAGCTTAAACATAATTTATGATCTTAATGCAGCTATTACTGGGTTTAATATGATTATAGTCTATGTCTTCAAATGTCATTTGTCTACAGGACATTGGACTTAGATAACACTGAAGTCCATCAGCTTTTAAAGCCTATTAACAGTGTTACGTATTAGACAAAGGTATACCATTATTTTACACTGACAATTTATATACATTTCTAATCTTCTACTTCTAGTTATTACTGTTTAACAAATGGAGAGGCGGGGAAGTTAAATTTTGGAATTAGTCAAGGGTCAACTGAGAAATTGATAGCGTGTTGCAGAGACCGTTAACATACAACCAGCTTAAGCACCCTGATGAAAGAGTCTCATGGAATTTCATTCCACCAAGCTCAAATGCTGCTGTCTCTTTAGCATAGCCTGACCAGTAACCTCACTGACTGAATTACAGCTCTGATGAGTAATGTTTAAAATAGTTCTAGACTGCAATCTCTGTAAAACTCTCACATAACTCACCATTTGCCCTGGTGGTCTTTGTCTCATTTTTAAGGTAGCCATGTGAGTTGATTTTTCTGTGGTAACTTCTCAGCTCTGAATTAGCTCCGTTCAGATACAGAGAAAATCCTTGTTCTAACTGCTCCAGTTTGATTTGTATAGGATCCTTTCTTTTTAAACGTCCCAGTAGCCTGAAGTAGAAAGGATAATAATTCATCCAGATGCAGTGCATATACAGATGGTCAGATTAGCAATAAACACAAAAACACACTATGTCACACAGATGAAAAATATGTTCATAGTTCAAATAACAATTTCAGAATATAGCTTCCAGGACCTGTTCTGTAATGCTTGTATGAGTACCGACACATTGTGACATATGAAGTTTGACCAAGCCTCTCCCTTCTGAGATTTTTTCCATGTTGTTTCTCATTTCACATTATTTTTTCCATTTGGTATTTAGTATATTTAACCTTTCTTCTTGAGAATTTTAAAGATTTTTACTTAGAATTTCAAAAAGCTTAAAAATGGTTGAGCTCTTTTCAAGAAAAAAAAAGATTACTTGTGTTTTGAAATTTGAGGGGGAAAGCCCCCAGTCAACAGTGCAGTTAGATATACCAGAAAATTAAAGTCTGGTTAAAATAATATTAAAAAAACACCCTTCCCCAGGCTCAGTTTCAGTGAAACACCTACCCCTCCCTCTTCCAAGTCTCATCTTTCCTCCTTTCACCATGGGTTACACTCGATCTGTCCTAATTCCTTCGGTGAGGTGACATGCAGGCCAGGAAGTTGGGGTCATGTGGGTGACAATTTGTGCCTGCCTCTGCACACAGCTTCCCGGTTTCCCTCTGACTGCAAGGTGGGTCAATCCACAGCCCAAAGTCCCCCAGGGTGTATCTGTTCTGACACAAGTCACCTTTTTCCAAGAGCATGTCCCCAGCCATGTGGCCAGCAGCCCTCCTAGGCAGCATGCCTCCACAAGAGCACCCCACCCCCCTGCAGCCACCACTCTCTTAAATCTACCCCAGGCTACTCTGACAGGTGATGTTTTGGCACACAATGGGCTGTTTCTGTTAGTTTTGCATCCAGCAGGAACTGGCTGTGACTGGCCCAGGGCAGTACCTGACCTGTTCCCACACAGGCTATTCTGCAGCCCCTGCTATCCAAAACTGCCAGTTATGTCCAATACATGAATGCATCCAGCATGCCTCTTCTGCAAGGTACAGTTGCCACCTGCTTGTCGTGTTGTAATTCAGTGGCAGTTGTTTCCACCAAAATTCTGAATTAGAGCTCTGATAATAAGGATGCAAGTTGTTTCAATCATTAAATAATTTTTTTTTTATCCTTTTCTAAAACTGCTTTAGGAGACTATACACAAAAGAAACCCGTGTTCACACAAATTGGCTGTTCTTCTAACATAATTGTGGCTTTTGTAGGTTTTTTTGGTCTTTTCACCAACCCATTCAGTTTGTTATAGAATTTGAGTAAAAATCTTATGGCTTGTGGTAAAGGAGGGAATCCAGCAAGAAAGTTCTGTAGACCCTTCTGAATTTACCTGTGAAATTCATCTGTCTAGGGTACAATGACAGGAAGGTTCATATGAACAAAGATTAAAAGAAATGTTTTAAACTTGTCTGAAAGATACTGAAGTTTGCAAAAGCAACCTAGATGTCCTTATCTCCCACCTTAGCAGAACCTAACTTTGCACACTTAACTTTTGCATGCAATTTTCTGTATTTCTGACAACATAAAAAGCTTGCCTCATAACAACATCCTCACACAGTGTGAGCTGCCAATTACTTCTGAATCTAGAACCTCTTGCTCTATAAACAAAAATCTTCCCTGTAAGCCATGGAAATGGTAACTAATTTATTAATAAATTTATCTATATTTTAACATATGCTGTAGAAATATTGTGATCTCCTCTAGAAATAAGAACTTTGATGTACTTAGCAAACCAAGGGAAGAAAAGAGAATCACCTGAATTCTTTAAGACACAGCAAGTCAGATCTTGCATCACAAGTTCAAAACCCAGCATTTTAAACTAATATTCACAACTGCTGATATTAGCTACTATATTAGATAATACCTGACAGATATTACATACTCAGTGGTGGTACCAATTCTGTATCTTACCGGTTTCTCTGCTGAAGTGATATTAAGTATTCATCATGTTTTTCATCAAAGTCAGTCACCATGTCCTTAATATAAAGCTGAAATGAGAATACAATTGTCACACTGAAGTACAGAAATTATTTATTATAGAGTACTACTGCTTTTTCACTCTCAATAGACAAGAATGTTATAAACTGTAAAAAGTTCCTCCTTCAAAAAAGCATAAAACTGTCAGTGTAGTACATAAAGTTCCTGAAGAACAGAGCAAACGTTACTTGTTCTACTTACTTTTCAGAACCCTTCACACTCTGCTGAGGAGCCTAAAAATACTAAAAATGGAAGGCGTATACTATGATGAGTTTACTATCCAAGAACTGACGAGCAAGTCAATGCTGGGTCACAAGCTGAAAGGGCCACGTCCAAAGCCCAACTGTGGGATGATTTTCCTGAATTGCTACTGCTCATGAGGTCCGTTAATTCTGGAACTTATTCACTGCAGAGGCTGTATACATTTAAAGTGTTTAATTCAAGATTTTACCTTGCTTGCCTTTCAGGAAATACGAACTTTTCCAGCAATTCCCACCAGAGTTGCGGCTGCAAGTTGTGGTAGGGTGCCCTCTTATACCCCCAGAAGTTTAAACTTGCTATCAAAACGCCTAATTTAGTTTTGCGCCGCAAAAAAGAAACCCCGTACGTTGCCTCTTGCCGACCGCAGCGTCTCTCTGCTAAAACACCGCCCCTTCCCGCGCCCTCGCGGAGGTAACGCAGCGTCAGGGCTGAACCGACACCTCTCCCGAACGACAGAGCAGGGCCCCGGGCCCGCCCCCCCTGCGCCGTGCCTCTGCTGCGCCGGCAGGCACCGGGCCCAGAAGAAACCCGGGGGCAGGGCCGCCGCCGCCGCCGGCCGGAGAGCCCCGCAACAGCTCGGCGGGGACGGCGGCCTGCGCGGGCCGGGCCGGGCCGCGCCGCCGCTGCCCTGTTTGTGCGTTTCCTTGGTTACCGCCGCGCCGGTGACCTCACTTCCGGCGCGCCGGCCCGGCGCCGGAAGCGGCGGCGGGGATGGAGGCGCTGTGGGCGCTGCTGGACGAGGTGGCCCTGGAGGGGCTGGACGGCGTCACGCCGGGCGCGCTGTGGCAGCGCCTGGGCGCCCGCTCGCCGCCCTTCCCGCTGCCGCTGGAGCCCGCCACGCAGCAGCTCCTCTGGGCCGCGCTCAGCGCCCAGCCCGACATCAGCTTCTACCTGCTGCCGCGGGCGCGCCCGCCGCTCCGCCTGCACGACCGGTGAGGGCGGCCCCGGCGGGGACGGCGCTCCCCGCCCCGCCGAGCCGAGCCGCTCCCTCTCTCTCAGGCCGCCGCGCTTTCCCCTTCCCGCCGGGCCGGGTTACCCCGCAGGACGCTGGGGGAGGGCTTGCTCCGCTGCCGGGGATAACTCGGGCCTGGTTCTCCAGCCGCCGCCTCTGCTCCTTCTCTGGAGCCCTGCAGGTTTTGCTGCTTAGGTAGCCGGGTGGCGGCAGGCAAGGCGGAGTGGGGTTTTGAAGCCCCACGGCTATTTAGGAGACCTGTATAGGAGTCCTGGCTAGGCTTCCCTTCTAGTAACTCTTCACCGCTTAGGTACAAGCTGAATTTATACGTCCCGGTTCATCAGGGTGGATGTACCTGCTGTTTTCCTTTCCTGTAAACTAGTATCTCTATATGTTTCTTTTATTCCCACCACTTCAATATCCTTGGATTTTTGAAGATCAAATATGTATGCCCCTCCTCCTGCCTCATACGCTCTGCATGCTGATAAGGTTTGGTCATACTCGAGGAGTGCAGCTCTGCTCTTTGTGTTTTTCCAGTTTTGAGGTTTCAAAAGGGTCTCATTTTTCCAAGATACTTCATAGAGGTATCAGCGTTGTTTGTGACAATCTTATAGTTCAGTTCCAAATTCCCCTTGCTTGGTTAAATGTTGGCGCTCTGCTTTTATTTCAGATATGAGGAAATAGACCTTGAAACAGGAATACTGGAAACCAAAAGAGATCCTGTTCCTTCAGATGATATTTATCCTGTCCACATGATTTTGGATAATAAAGATGGCATACAAGGTTCCTGCCAGTATTTTAAAGAGAGAGTAGATATCACTGATCAAATAAGGAGGAAGGATTTGCAGCCTTGTTATACTTACACAGAAGCTGTTGAAAAGTGAGTGAAATCCTTATATCTGACATTAAAAGATTTTTAACTGAAGTCTTAAAATTTAGTCCTCACCCAGTTTGTACAGATTATATCAAGAATGGTTTTTGTGGGGGGAAAGTGATTGATCTCTCTGTTTCTATGAAACTAATAATAATTTATTACTTTCCCTTCTATTTCTTAGATGGGGAGAGAAACTAGTCATTGTTGCTTCCCAGGACCAGCGTTACAGAGCTTTAATAGGCTGGGAGGGGGACCCTGACTTAAAACTCCCTGACTTCTCCTACTGTATATTGGAGCGTTTAGGTCGTGCTAGGTGGCAAGGAGAGCTTCAGAGGGACCTTCACAGTGGGGCTTTCAAGTAAGTTTATATCTTGCTGTATGAATTAAATCAAAGCTAATAAGTTTCCACTGGTTATTTATAAAGATCTGTCCACTTCAGAATTTCTGTGTATTGATTTAAATTCATATCTGTATTGGTAGCATCTCATCCTTACTACCAGGAGCACTTGGTTCTTGGAGCCTGTATTGCTAGAAGTATAGTGGTCTCTTCCTTGAGTTCATTATACTTCCTCATATTTTCTCATGGAACCAGAGATTGTCTGTTGGGTTGATACACAAGTTTCTAAGTTGTAGAAGTTCTTGCTTTCTCTAAATCACTTTTTCCTCAAATTTGGGATGGAACAATGATTTTCATTTCCTTTTCTAAACTGCTGAGTAAGTATCTTACCCTGCCGAAGTTCGGAAGAGATTCTTGGACGCCCACCTTATGTCCCCAGCATTTGCCCTGTGTGACACCTTCCTCTATATGACCTGAATGGGAGCCTGACTTACCAGCTCCCAAACTAGACCATGTATTTTGTTGATGGAGGAGCATTACACAGCTTCTTAGGGAACTTCTGGGATTGTATTGCAGTGCTGGAGAATATTAGCATTGCCGTTAAGGTTTCACTGCTTTTAGGAGATTAAGCATACGTAGCTTGCAAACCACACTGGATCTGGGTTTTGCCACTTAGGAAGCTCTTTTAGGTAACTAAGATGATGGAGGCGGAGGGGAAATCTTTTGTGGATACTTTTTTGTCAGTTCAGTGGCCTGAGTCAGCTCATCAAGGAGTGAGATGAGTACCAGAGCTATTACAAGGGGAACAGTAATTGTAGTGTAGCTAGGAGTTAGAAAGAGAGGATGGAGAAAGAGGGTATGGGGATACAATATTGGTTCAGCTGTCTCATTAAATCATGTCATGACACTGTGATTGTGCATGGAGACTGTAGGTTAAAATCAGACATATTTCTCTGTTTAATTGGATTAACTATGAAGATCAATTTCACGGGTTACCTTAATTTTGGCACTTCCTAATTTTGAGATTGTCACTTTGAAAATTAACATAACGTCACTAAGACCATAGGTAATTTAGGTAAAGTGTTTTGGGATATTGGATAATTAGAATTTATTTGCGTAAGTTCCTATGCCTATAGATATCTTGCCATCTTCTCTTTAGAGTGGATGCTGGAAAAATTCATTATCACCGAAGAGTATTGGACAGAAATGGTCTCATAACAATGCAGTCCCATGTCATAAGACTACCAAGTGGAGCACAGCAACACTCAATTCTTCTACTTCTGACTCGCTTTCACGTTGATAGGTATGTGCCACTCGGATGTTTTAAAGATCTCCTGAGTAGACCGTGACCTTTTACTATGATGAAAGTTTGCTCTCCTGTCACAGAATCATCAAAGTTCCCTGGTATTGACTGTTCTCAATTTCTTTATTAACTCCTCTTCCAAATGCCGGACAGTTTAAAACTTACTTATCTCAGAGCGCTAAACAATAGGGTATGCTAGTGCCTGTCACCTGCCTAGATAAGCCTAACTCTTCTTATTGTAGCAATAATAATTCTGTTAATTTTGAGTGTTCTCATTTCAAACACATTTCTAATAGATTTTTTTTGTTTTCTGATCTTGTTTATGATTAGAACTTGCGCTTCTGTGGCTTGCCAATGAAGTAACAGCCTGGGCTTATTCACTGTTCCCTCGGATGGGGTCTCTTCTTAATGATAAATTCTGTCATATGCTATTCAGAGAAGGAAAAGAAAACTATAATTCCTAAAACAATCTGAGAACACTTCAGCATACTTTCTCTAGTGACTGACATTTTGTAAAGGTACAAGTAGTGTTTATAAAGCTATATGCATGGTTACCTGTAAAATAATTTTCTTTTCTTGGTTAGGAGGAGCAAATATGATATTCTGATGGAGAAGCTCTCAAGTATGCTAAGTGCTCGTTCAAACCAGATGGAAACATTAGGAAACTTGAGGGAAGAACTGGTGAGATTAATTACTCTGTTAAATTCTCACTCACGTAGAATCTAGATGATTAGTATCAAAGGCAGTCATTCATACTGCTTGTTTTTTAAAGTTGCACAAAATTTTGGGGTAGGATATCAACAGAAGGATCTTAAAAACCTACTAGATCAAGTTACGGTTGCTGTTTGTCATAAGGAAGGAGTTCTATTCGATCCACAGTTTCAGAAAAGTTTTGTCAATGGATATATCATCATGCAATTCTTACTTGCACAGTGCTGCTGCTGGTTCTTGCTGCTTGTTTGGATGTTAGAGTTGGAGGGATAGAACACACTCCAGAAGCATCTCACGCTTTGCCTGTCTTTGCTTTGTCTGCACTAGCAGGCTTTTAAGATCCTTCTGTGATATCCTACTCCAAAATACTGTGTTCTAAGAACAGGCAGTATGTATGTCTGTCTTTGATACTAATCACCTACAGACAAGACCTTTGGGCTACAATGATGTTTGCTATTTCTCTTTGCGTTAGGGTCTTTGTGAGAGAACTTTCAAACGTCTGTATCAATATATGATGAATGCTGGCCTAGCCAAGGTAATATCCATCCCATTACAAGATATACACCCCAATGGAGGACCCTACAAGACAAAGAAAGGTAACTAGAACTGTATTTTTGCTTTCTTTTTGTGTAATTACATTGATGCCATTCTATCTATAAGCTTCAAATCTTAAATTAAAAGATGCATAGGTGAAGTTCTCTCTGTGTAATTATGTGGAGAAATGTATTAATAAAGCTAGAACACTGCAACCCACTTGAATTAAGCATTTGTTCCAGGCTTTTAAGAAATGGATGCAGGCAAGTTTGTTGTATATCAATGTAAGCTGTTTCTGTAGATTATGACTCCTAATAAGACTGCTCAAGCCAATACAGAATAGGGTCAAAGAGCAGTCTGCTGACCTTTCAGGTTGAAGTTGAATGACAAATCAATAAACTTGACAAAAAATATAGAAAAAGTTATATAAAACAAAAAAGACCATTACAAAATAAGCTAAAGAAACAGACCATCTTAATTATGGCTTTTGCTGAAATTATGGCTTTTGCTGAAATTATGACTTTTGCTGAAAGTGATGAGAATGCTAAGTTTCTTTGGAAAGTTTCATATCAAATTATGAAAGTAAGCTTCTACAGCACTACCTTGG